ACCATCCTTGGCGCTTTCGGCTACTGGCGATGCAAAGGCTAGTTATGAAAAAGACCTCCAAAGTTTTGAAAATTTGAATAGCGCAATTTTAATTCTGTTGACAACAAACATGTCAGATGATATTTTACAAAAGTTTTTGCGATTTGATTCTGCTAAAGATATGTGGGATGAGCTAGAGCGCACCTATGGAGGTACGTGTGTAGACAAGACATACAACTTATGCCTGAAATTCTTCAGTTACAAAAAGGACCCAGAACATGACATAATTACACATGTGTCAATTTTAAAGAATATTTGGAGCGAGCTATGTACGGAATTGCAGAGTGAAACAAAATTACCTGAAATTCTTTTAATATGCAAGATACTAGATACATTACCTCCAGAATATCTTGGTTTTAAGTCCAGTTGGCTGTTGATTTCAAAAATGGAAAGATCAGTTGAAAATCTGACAAGTCAATTGTGTGCACAAGAGAGAGTCCTGCGTCAAGACACAAATGTCACAGAGGAGACTAGTGCAGAAGCTTTGTATACAAAAACAAATAAGGGTAAGAAAAAGAAGAATTTTAACGAGCCTAAATGCAATTATTGCAAGGAAAAGGGACATAGAGTTAGAAATTGTAAGCGGTGGATCCAAGATGGAAGGCCGCCCAAGGAAACCAAGACCGCAAACACGAACCTGACTGTTATGACATGTTATGACAATAGATTCGGCTGATTTTGGAGAAAGGAAAGATTTAGAGAATTGGTTCATTGATAATGGGGCTACCAATCATGTTACCAATCGAAATGATCTCTTTCAGACCTTCAAATATTTCAAGAGCCGTCATACAGTGACTGGCGCGAATGGCCAATATATTGAAGCCCTAGGCATCGGAAATATTCTTGCAGAGGCTGATGTAAACGGAAATGCAATACCGATACTACTGAAGAATGTCTGGTACGTACCCAGCATTAGCAGGAATTTATTTTCAGTACTTGCAACCCACGACATATCTGACAACAGTGTTTTTGAATCTACCACACTAAAATGTACACTAAAGATTGATGGACAGGTAAAGCTGATTGGCACCCGCAGCAAGTTTGGAGGACTCTTTAAAATTAATATAAGATGTCTGGAACCAACTGTACGAGTCAATCAGGTGTCCACAAACACAAATTTGTTACAGCTATATCATGAAAGATTTGGACATCAAAATAAAAGCCATGTGAAGAAGGTGATTGAAAATGAGTTTCATATAAAAGTACCAGTAACCAAGGAACTCTGTGAAGGTTGCATCTATGGCAAATCCCATAGACTTAAGTTTGGGACCCGAGAGAAAGCAACGAGACCTGGAGAACTTGTATATGCTGATGTTTGTGGACCCTTCCCATATTCTATCACAAAGTTGCGATATTTTGTTCTCTTCAAAGATGATTATACAAGGTACAGATTTGTGTATTTTATGAGGGAAAAAGCTGAAGTACACGCGAAATTGCTACTTATGCTTACTGAAGTAAAAGCATCAGGAGTTGTCATAAAAGAACTTCTTAGCGACAACGGTGGTGAGTTTGTCAACGCGAAGGTACAAGCTACTCTCAAGAAGGAAGGTATTGTGCAAAGATTGACAATGCCCTATACGCCACAACAAAATCCAACAGAGCGAGACAACAGGACCGTTGTGGAAATGGCGCGGAGTCTAATGTACGCACATGCAAAAATTCCTCCTGCACTTTGGGCTGAAATGATATCTGCTGCGGTGTACATCTTAAACAGAACAGGCCCAACCTCGAATCCTGACGGATCGATTGATAAATACAAAGCCAGACTTGTAATAAGAGGTTTTTCACAGAAGAAGGGTTTAGATTATTATGAAACCTTTAGTCCTGTTGCAAAGACAAGTACCATAAGAGCATTACTCAGTATAGCTGCTCAAGAAAATCTCTCTCTATGTCAGTTCGACGTTTCAACTGCCTTTCTATATGGCAAATTGAAAGAGGATATTTATATGAAGCCTCCAGAAGGATATTCAAACAATGATGGTAAAGTTTGCAAACTTAAACGAAGTCTCTATGGACTTAAACAAGCACCGAGGTGCTGGAACTCTACTATTACTGAGCACATCCTCAAAGTTGGCTTCATACAGAGTGAGGGTGACCCCTGCTTGTTTAAAAGAGAGGGAAAGAACAAGTTATTAATAGCTTTATATGTTGATGACGGATTGATAGCGTCAGCAAGTTCAAAAGAAACTGAAAAGTTTTTGGACGAAATGCGTCAACGCTTCAAAATCACAACGAAATGCGGTTCCTATTTTCTTGGAATTGAAATAGAACGTAAAGTTGATGGGTCAATCAAAATTGATCAAAAGAGCTATGCAAAGAAGCTACTGCAACGATTTGGCATGCAGAATTGCAAAGCTGCAGTAACCCCAATTGTTAAAGATAACGTGCTAGCTTCGAAAGACAATACGGATATCCATGACTTTCCATATCGACAGGTTGTTGGAGCATTATCCTATTTGATGGTTGGCACTAGACCTGACATTGCTTTTGCAGTTGGAATAGTGTCACGGAAGCTAGATAATCCAACATCAGAAGATGTAGCGAGAGTTAAGCGAATTCTACGCTATGTTAAAGGCACCCTAGAGTATGGTATAACATACAAATCTTCCACTGTAGAACGAGGCTTAAGATGCTACAGTGATGCTGATCATGGTGGTGATGAGACGACTGGACGCTCCACCAGCGGCATGATTTGCCTCAACGCCAATGGTGCAATAGCATGGCAGAGTAAACGTCAGACTACTGTCGCAATATCTTCTACAGAAGCTGAAATAATTGCAGCAAGTGAGGCCGCCAGAGAAGTTATATGGCTTAAACGGATCATGAACTTCATGCAGAGTAATACTCAGAAGGAGATTACACCACTCTTTATAGATAATGAATCCGCTATAAGATTAGCTTATGATCCACCTTACGAAGCACACCAGCGAACAAAGCATATAAGGCTTAAACATTTTTTCGTAAGGCAGTGTGTCCTAGAAAAGGATATAAAAGTTGAGAAGGTTGATACCAAGAATCAACTGGCAGACTTCTTGACAAAGCCATTATTTAAGCCTAGGCTTCTAGAACTATGTAAGCTAGCTGGAGCCTCCACTTAACCAACAGTTGCTTGAAGAGGAGACGGAATGTTAAGAAGGTTATATACATCAGTTACAAATTGTCTATCTTTAATATGATGATGTTACCTAGCAACTGTTGTTAATTTGTAGTCAAGAATAAATTTGTCAATAACAGAAACTTGCTTTCCATATTTTATTTTATTTTATTATATTAAAGAGATTTACCTACCCACACTAAAAATTACTCGTTATTAATAAATTATTCGCATTGAAGTGAATTTGAAGAGCCTCAACACTACAGATAACAAAGGACCTAACTACGTGACTTTGAAATGAAGTTATAAATATCTATGCTTTGTTGCAAAGATTTAAATTTAGTCATTAAGAATTGTATATCTTGCGACAAAATAAAAATAGCTACATAATCCATGGTGTTACGGAAAAGGTTATTGAAATTGTGTAAGTTACCCCTATACAAAGTTGTTTCGTCTTAAAAAGTATGAAACGTCAAACGGTACCTCTTAGATTACATGGACTATAACTTGTTTAGTTTTCATACCTAAAATTAACTTTTTTTATGTTAGAGGGGGCAGCAGACGGGTCACCTGATGGAAAGTGACCATCGCCGCCCATGAACTTCTGCAACTCAGGAGTTATAAACGCGTTGCCGGCCTTTTAGGAAGGACTAAGCTCTTTTCTTGAAGGTTTGAAGGTCGTATCGCTCCAGAAATACCGCAGACGATAATCGGTTCCACAGATTAGTAGTGCGGGGCAAAAACTGTCGAAATGCCCACAGTGGAGCGCTAACTATCCAGGTGATGAGAATGAAAATTTTGCCGTGTGGAACGATGGCGGAATGTTGCGACTGGTATTAGTCCGAACCATTCCTCGGAGCACTCTGCATGATATATGCGATAGAGAATGCAGAGTGATGCCACATCTCTACGTAACGCCAAGGGATCGAGGCGATTGGAGATGTTTGGGCTATCGGCCATTCGATAAGATCAGTGCATAGCTCGCTGGCAGTTAATACGGGTAAATAATACAAAGTTTATGTTTAAAAAGTTTTTTAAATCGACTTAACTTACTGGTACTAAAATTTAGAAAAGAATAGTTTTAAAACACTTTTCTTATTTTAAAGAAAATTCTTTAACCGAAATAACCGAATCAGAAAAGTGTTATTTATTAGTAATATTTTTAAGTTAGGATCTGACTAATTAACTTTTTTTGCAAAGGTCAAAAGGAAATAAATGCTGGGAAAATAGATTTCAGATATTGCTTGCTTAGATTTAATATTTATATCAATATAATAAAATTACATAAATTAAACCAATATTCACTTGGATTCTTGGTCATGGTTATTGTCCTATTAAGTATTGCCAGTAACGTTTATTAAAATGGTATCAAATGCGGAATTATTTGACAAACGAATAACTAGAAAAATGGACTAAAATATTTCACTTTAGAATTCAATAATCATAAAAGTCTAAAAATTGATAACCTGTTGTAGATTTCAATATATGATTTTATAATTTCGAAACTTGGTCGAGGTCGAATTTTCCAAACCTTAAAATACAAAATACCTTACATCCACAGACTATATTAAATTTCCAAGTTCTCGAACGTGTTTCATCTCATTATTTTCCATTAATTTTTATTGTCAAAAATAATTAATTATTACAATATTCCGGTATCTATTTATTTAATATAATAAAAATGTTATCAAATATTAAAGGTATAAGTTTATATAACCATAATTTGTGCATCAACTGAAATACAACAGTAGTTAGTCTCTAATTATCTACTTGTCACTCAATCATATGTTAGCAATTATTTTAGTGATGTCAGTTTGTTTACTAATGATAGATTAGGTTAAAGTGAAAGATCTTGTGATTTTTCGGAATGAATACGACAGAAACTGCTGAAGGGTCGTCATGTAAAGGACAAGAAAATGGCGACGCATCAAATGAATCTGAGCGCCCACTCAAGAAAGCACGTTTTGCGTGGCAAGTCAAAGGCAAATACCATTTAAAAAATGATGCAAATGATACAGTCAAAGCATCTTCAACAACATCACCAGATCCTGACACAGCTTTACCCTCTGGTAGTGGAAGTAGCAGTAGCAACAGAGACACTGAACAAAAGTTAGAAATATTTGGAGATTATTTAATGAAACAAGACTTCCAGACCCTTGACTGTGTAATTTCTGCCCCCGACGAGTCTCTTACGCCCAGTACAAGTATACCAGTAAACGAAAGGTTGCCTTATCCGCGATATATGAGTTCCTATGAACAGAATATGCCTAACAGTGTATTTAAAAAAAACAGTGAAAGTAGTAACATCACAAAAACCCTTCCTTCCTCAGTGGTAGTTGCACCAAGTTTTACAGAAGATCAGTGCATAGCTCGCTGGCAGATAATACAGGTAAATAATACAAAGTTTATGTTTGAAAACTTTTTTTGGAAATTTACAGACAAAAACAAGATTAATTTGTCTTGAAAAATAGATACACTTGTTACAAGACTGATTAGTTCTTAGTTTATTATTATTTATTATCCCCACTGTGTGGATGTTAAACACTTCAAGAATTAAGTTTGAAGCAGATATTAAAAATAAATAATAGAAATACTTATTAAATATATTAGTTACAAATGGCCTCTTTATGTTGATTATATTAAATGTTCAGACAATTATTAAATTTGTACTCTTATACAAGAAAGCTTGGCCAAAAATATTTCTCCTCTCTCTTCATTCTTTCTTTCTTCATCTTTCTTCATTCTTCTGGATTTAGTAACAAAAATACACAAACAATAAATTTTGGTAACCATAAGATAATAATGTCCAGATTATATTGTTAAAATTCATTATTTCTGGAGAATACCAAAAATCTCTTCATAACATTTGATGGTCATCTTTCCATGTCCATTATTAAGATAGGTAATTCGAGAAGTAAGAACAATAAGTATTTACATACCCTATAACTTTCTCTTTTTTAATTAAACACTAAATAAAAATCAATGAAATGTTTTATTATGTTTTCAGATGGTCAGAGGTTTTATTGATAACACCATAAACCGAGTATTGGATCTTGAGCTACAACCTCCATTACCGCCTGAAGATGGTCGCTTCTATTATGTGGCCCGTGATGTAGCAGATTTCATAAACAATTTACCTGGAGACAACAGTATTGAAAATGAAGGAATACTTATGGCAATATCTGCACATGGATTACAACACCCAAGAAATTCTTACAGTAACATTCACATAGAGAACAGTAACCGTAATAGAGTACCAGATGATGCAGACAATATTCATCTATTGACACCCTTGCCCTCTGATGATGAATCTCATGAACCAGTGAACAATATCAACGAATGTGATACTGATACATCCTCTAATGATTTAGATATGTCATGGTCATATGATGATCAAAAAAATGAAAACAGTGACATGACTGTGTTTCCACTATTTCCAGACTCTACTAATTTGTCATATCAAAGTGTTAATGAAAGTCCTCAGAATTCCAGCACTGAATGTGAAGTAATTGAAAACCCTGTTGACAATCACTGTGATTTTGTGGATGAGGCGATTTTATTTGCTATACAAAGCAAAGGATTGACCACATTTGGTTCTGATTATGGCTAGTGTATTTCATTACACTCTGATCTGACCTGTATTAGCACATAATGATAATGACAAAAGACATTGTACACATATAATAGTTATGTTATACATGTATATAAGATACTTATTATACAATTAAGACATGCATGAAATATCAAAATAAAATATTCATGTATCACCTATCTATTTAAAATAAAGTGGCGGCAGCTAACGGGAACAATTTGTGACCCCCAGTTTCCCCTTTACACTGAAGGGACAAATTTATAAAACTATCATCAGACCTGCTGTCCTGTATGGTTCTGAAAGTTGCCCATTAAGAGAACGGTTGAGAGACGCCTGAACGTAGCTGAAATGCGAAAGCTGAGACGAATGTGTGGTGTGGCTCGGATGAACAAGGTTAGGAATGAGTATATACGAGGGAGGCTGAAAGTAGCGCCACTGAATTAAAAGTTAAGAAGTAATAGGTTATCTTGGTATGGACATTTCATGCAAAGGGATGAGGAAAATGCGGTGAAGAAACTTTTAGGTATGTGAGTTGTAGGGTACAAGAGAAGAGGAAGACCAAAGTAAAGGTGGATGGACTGTGTGAGTGCGGATATGGCTAGGAAGGGAGTAAACAGTGAGATGAAGCATGATAGAGTAGAATGTAAGAATCATACTTACTGCCCCGACTCCAAATAAAATTGGGATAAGGGTAGGCAGATGATGACCTATCTATTTAAAATTCACATGCAGAATAATAATATCACAAGGTTTAAAGGATGTATTGCATATTAAGTCTACTATATTCTTTCAGAGCCCTGTGATAACGACATGATTATTGAATTATATGAAGAATAGTCAATCATTTATAAAGCAAATTTAAATATATGTGTGAATAGTAAAAAAAGAGATCAATTCAAACCATAACATATAAAAAAAGACAATTCTAATTTTGTTATTTTCTAAATCCTTACAATTACCTGTCTTGCAGGCAGGGCTTATTTTCCAGCGAAGATGATTCATTTCAATCATGATTGCAACACATACCTTAGTCATTTTGTAAGAATGTGGTAATGCAGGTCACTTTACTCTTGTAGTATAGTTATATTAACTTGCTTGTAAAGACTAACTAGGCACAAATAGTTTTAATTATGGGAGTGGTGCACTTATGCCATGAAATCAGTATTTTTAAAATAATAAATATATAACCAAGTGTTTACATTTGCGGAATTATGTATATAGTATGTATTGTGATATAAATCTTGAAGGAAACTGTACTGTCAAAATGTTGGAAAAAAAGTACAAAAGTTTCAAATTTGTTGAAACATATCAAGTGACTGATTTTGAAACATGGTCATCATCCTTACTAATATTTTTTTTACATTACCAATATATTTTATAACAGATGGTCCATTATAATTTAAGTGTAATTTGTCCATTATATAAATCTAGATATAATTTCCAAACAATTGCATAAAGTTTAGTTCTTTTATACAATGATCAATGCATTTTTTGTATCATGCTTTTATTATTTGAAGATTATTTTATGGTTTAATTATTGTAAGATTATTTTATTTTGTGTATGAATATTTTTAAAGAAATTATTGTGAAGTGTAGATCCATTATATAATAATTATAGAACTAGAGTAAAATAAATGTATGCCATACTGCTGACCTTACAGTCAATAAAATGATACTCAATTGTGTGTTCATTATTATTTAAAACGAAAACGATATTAAATAAATATTAACACATATACAATAAATACATAGCTAGTTAAGTATATCACATAAAAGAGACGAAAAAAAGAAAAGGAACATTCTTATCATGCCTTGACACGTAATTGACTTAATTGAAACTTTCATAAAATTCCTGAACCATTCTCTTAAAGATTCATAAAATTCCTGAAACATTCTCTTAAAGATTCATAAAATTCCTGAACCATTCTCTTAAAGATTCATAAAATTCCTGAACCATTCTCTTAAAGCTGTTCATCGTTTGCGCTCGCCTGATGATTATCGGCAATGCATTCCACAAACGTCAACAGTAAAAGAATGGTCATAAAATTTTGATGAATGCAGAGGCATCTCCAGCCCCAAATCCTCGGCTGACCTCAGGCATTTATCATGTGTGTCATTAAGGAACTTGAACCGTTCTTTGAGGTAAATGGGAGCTCTAGGATTGAACAAGATGTTATAAAGAAAAGTGACGATATGAGTATTCCGGCGAGAGCGAATCGGAAGCCACTTGAGCTTTTGACGGAATTCAGAAACGTGATCATATTTTCTTAACCCAAATACAAATCGTATGCAGAGATTTTGAAGTCGCTCAAGCTTATCAAGTTATGCTTCAGTGAGATTTAGATAGCTAACATCGGCATAGTTGAGAATTGGTAGGAGAAGTGCTTGTGCAAGTGCAGCCCTAGTTGCAGTTCGAAGAAAGTTTCGCAGTCTTCGCAGGGACCCGGTAGACGCAAATAACTTACCGACTGACTTCTTGTGTAGGTGGACCCCAAGATAAAGTATTTATTGTATATAATGTATTTATTTATCTTATAACTTTATGCACAAATATATATGCAGTGGCAGACTTAATGCCTGGTATTCTCTGCCAGTCGACCCGATTGTGCGATACAAAGAAAGGATGAGGTAGGTGAACTTATGGGAAAATAAAAATTTGAGCGTTAAATCTGTGGATAGGATATAATAATAAGCCTCGTATTCACCAGCCATAGCAACAAGTGCTCCAGATGAACAATATTCAAAGTTACAACTATTGGGATTCAGTTGTTTTGAATTCACCGATGATTTCAAAACGTAGGTACTTAGTGAAATTGTAAGCTAATGTGTTCTTTCTTCCTTTTATTTTTTATAATTTTTTCTTTATATTTACAACCCAATTTCATGGTAATTTGACCATTAATCTTATTACCATAAAAGTGCACAAAAAACAGTGCTGTAACACAATTTGCAATTATTATTAAAACGACCTGGCGATTTCAAAGAGGCACCGTGAATTTGTTTGCACGATTTCATTTCACAAGGTTCAACCATTTGGAAACAGATAATTAGAGATCGACACGGTACCTATTAAAACATTTTCCATTTTTTTGTTATATTATTTTACATTGACAAAACGACATAACGGTGACTGCGTGTATTTATCTATAATTATCTTGCAGGAGATATTTCGAATAACTGGAGAATATTATGAAATAAATACACTGAATTTTTAAGAATTACGAGGAGCAGCAGATTAATATTGCAAAAAATAAACCTAGAATAACTTTATCAACCTTGGGATATTACCACCTATTTACTTTTTTACTACGCGCGGGTAAAAGCTATTTTTTTTTACTATTAAGTACCTGTAGCTTACTGGTCTATTCGTGAGCGATCCTTACTGCTAAACAAGAACTCGTGGTTTTGATTCCAATATGTGATGATCATCAGTGAATTATCCATAACATGCATGTATTCGGAAATATATATATACATGTTTATTTAGCAATAAATGGGCCTGGTCGACGCACATTTATTACGAACTTACTTTATTACTTATAACGAATAGTCTACTTCTTCTGGAAAACAGACATGAGTACACGTATGTATGTCATCATTATCAACAGCCTTTAATAGTCCACTGCTGCTGGACATAGGGTTCTCCTTAGAAAGGAAGTTTTGGCCTGCTATACCACGCTGGCCAGACCCTAAATATGTAACTACCCTAAATACAATAGCACGACAAGTCAAACGTATGAAACTGCTTTGGATGCTAAACCATCATCTAACATCGGTAATAAATAAGTTAAGGTGAAAAATTATTAGTTACGGTTGTTATTAAAAAAAACAAGTCCTCATTAACAATTTTATTATTGCTTGTTATTATTCACATAATACAAAATAAACTATGCACAAATTTAAGACCACTGATATTTTAGTTTAGACTTTATAAATATTCAGTTAAATCATTGTGTTAAATGTTTAAAAGCCTGATATTTACTATGAAAACGCTTGCTATAACTGCACTGCAGTTCACAATAACATAATATAAGGCTATAGTGGACTATTAAGTATGTTGCCAAAAGTTTCATGCGACTCATCATTTGCTACTAGTACACATCAGGCTTTACAGAAACATCTAACATTAACAGCTGAAATTAATATACAATAGCAGCAGTCTCCCGTCAACTTACTGTGATGTGCTCACGCCATTAAAATTATTATTACATGACATTCATGGCCGAATATCCTACTATACCTCTGCTACATTATAAGTAACTGTACATCAGCAATAATCATGAATCCATACTTAATATATTTACACTTGAAAATACTTATTTATTTCTCTCAATCGTTTGCCAATAACTTTTATACTGATGTAAATAGTGCACCCATAAAATAAAAAAACCCGACTGTTTCTTAATGCAATGCAAAAGTTTGAACGAAAATAAGTAACTAGGGCAAGTTTAATTTCAAAAAAAAGACTTTCTAAATCAATTACTTATATCAATGTCATGGTTGTAAAAACTATATATCAAATAGAAATGACATGTGGCAAAACTAGTTATGAAAATAATAATATTATTGTTTAATTGCAGATATGATCAAAAAACGACTATTTCAACATTAAAAAATATTATAGCAGTTGAGGCTTTCATTTGTTAATTTATTAGGTTGAAACATTTTTAAATAATCAAAAAACATACCTAATGAGGTAAAAATCATATTAAACTTGTATTGTCATATTTCAGAGTAACAATTACAAAAAAGTAACTGGATTGGCATTAGTTGTTCAATAATATTTAAGTTTTGTAACACTCATTACTTGAGGTTTTTAAATATATTTAGACAAAGCACATATAGCAGGCTAACAATCATCAAAATAATAGATATAGTTACGAAACAAAATAAGCTTAAGTCATATCAAAACGAACAGAAAATCTGCTAAAAATACATACAATCTAAGTACATGTAATTTAAGTGCATTACCAAATGTTAAATATTCTAAATTTAATATTTTCAAAACTGTAGTAAACAAATGGATCATATGGCGGTGGTAAAATATATTGTATTCATCCAATGTATTGCACTATTTTTTAAATATTTACTTAAAATATAAACAACCTTTTTATGTCTTTCTTTAGTAATTAGGAGTTTCTTGTATCTTACATAAATTACGATTATAAAACAATTATTATAGCCTACTTGTTTCTATAAAAAGACATGAAAATATTGCTTGTATTTTTAAAATATCCTTATAAATAGATTTTACATAACTACTCCTTTTTAACTAACTCTGCAATAAGTAGATTTTATTAATGACATGTTTTAAATGAATCATAAATAAACGCTAATACAGTAGCTAGCTTTACCTATTAAGGTGTAAATAATAATCATTGTACTAAAAGAGTACTTCCACACATTAGACCGTCACATAGTATCCTGCTCATAGTATTAGTGTGAGTTGAACAGTTTATGTCTAAGAGGAGTATCGTAAATTTGTTACTAAATTTGCTACTGTTTCCGCCAAGAGTCATAGCAACTCTTCTGGCAAAAACTAATGACAAAGTCTCTAAACTGTAAAAACTCATACTACACAATAAATCAGATGACATTATCTGTGTATACATGTGTTAACTATTTAGATTTTTACTGATTTTATTTATTAACTTAGTTAACCTAAGACTTGCAATTACCTCAATTCTTTTACTCTTAGATGATTGTTACTCTTACCGATATAAAATTTTAAAATATTGGCGAGAAATAAAAACAAAGTTTGGAATTTCCAGAAAGCATGTTTTTGTAGAATTCTTAGAAGTTTTTTTGTTAAATCAATTAACTTGACACTGTATTTCTTTATCATGTTGTTACATTTGATTTCTTTCTGTTTTCTGACTAAGCTTTAATGACAGTCATGAAATATATATAGGAGCAATGTTGATCACTGATAGTCTACTTTACTTATAGACAATTGGCGATTAATATCATTATATCAATCAATCAATATATAATAGACATCAATCATTTTTCAGTATGATAACTTAAAAAGTAGAATTGTAAAAGGAGAAAAAGGATAATGGCAAAATTTATGAAAAAGTATCCTAGCTTCGACACACACAAAACGCCAAATTTGCACACGAGCTAGGGCAAATTTGTCCAATCTTTAAACAAATAGTTTAGTGAGCCACATGAATATTCACAACCATGTGTGTATCTGGATTCACGTGTCTCTTTCTATAATCTCAGTTAATTATATGCTACATATATTTACACAACTTATATCATACATTATTATTATTATTAAAAAATCTCCAAAAGTTAAAAAATTGACAAACACATTAACACCCTTATACTTAACAAAGCGTATGGATTCATTATATTTACAAGTACACAAAAATAACGCGCACAATGTTACATGCAAACTAGGGTGCCAAAATAATAAGTACATTATCATCAATGTATATAGTATTATGAACCTAAGATCACCTAGGGCATCTTATAAACTGTATTACGACTTGTGGAACTCAACACTATCTAATGTAATGTACAAAATAATACAGTATGTAAAAGGCCTATTAACGGATCTGATGTGTACTACATTAAAAAATGTACATGAATGTACATTACGACATATAGGTCACCATTTTCATAAGGCGGAGAATGTTTATCAACTAAGCTAAAAAATATTTACAATATGCACAGAGATTAAAGCGACACGCGTATAGGCATCAAAATCTTTTCGGGCGATATTATTATTGCTTACATTTTGTGATTTTGTATCTGTTGTCCTACCATACCAATTATTTGCTTTGACAGATATGCGTAATGTCAAGAACACATGTTTTATACATATTCCATATACAAGATTTATTTTATACTTAATTTACTTTTAAAAATAAATAAAATGACAATTGTAACAGACTAGACATAAGAGGACCGTCTGCTATTATATTAATAATATGTACCATTAATTCTGTGGAGTTAGCAATCAGTATTAAATTAAAATTGATTTAAGTCTTTAATACATTTTTTCTTAATTTTATGTAACTATCCAACATGAGATCTTTCTTAGCAAGATTACCAACAGACCAATTCTTTAAAGTCTAAAAAAGACAGACGAACTTGATGCCTAAGCCTAATAAATCACCTATGTTCATAATATATAGTGTCCATCATGTTGATGAAGTGAAATAAATACTTGTGATGTTGCTGAGGGGGATTTGACTCAAATGGGGGGCAGGAATAGTTGTGGAGAGGGTGAGGCTAAGCGCTATGGTTTAAACTTTACCAGAGGTATGTTTTTAGAATGCAGGCACTTATCACACACCCATTCTGCATACACTTCTGCAGTCAGCAGCTGAAATGCTGGTTCCGTTAGTCCAGTGCAGCCCCTGGAAATATTATAATAGGAAATTAAAACTTTTATTGGATATACATGACGCCATTCATTTTATTTACAGAAAATGTTTCATATGATATATACATAATGAACAGTTTTCTGTAAATGATAAACTCAACATTTCCTTATATGAGTAGGAATATAGCATTTAGCGAGACAAATACATGTTAATAAATAGTTAATCTTCCATTTCAGACAAGGGTCAGATGAAGAATTATACATATACCATTGACCATAGTTTATTAAGAATTTTATGCCCAGTGTGTTCAGATTGTGCAAAATTTAAAATAATACTTTTCTTCCGAACATTCATTATGGGGATTACAGCAGACTATTGCATGCATGAATAGCATCATAGTGGTTTAAGCGGTCACCTCGCCACTTTCTACTGCACTGAGTGTTGCGGGTTTGATCCCCACATGGGACAACACTTTGTGTGATAAACAAATTGTTGTTCCGAGTCTGGGTGTCCTTTGTGTCTGTTTCATGTAAGTTTGTAAAGTAACCCTGCCACACAGGATTTATTCCTAAAGTAGTGCTGAAGTTGTCTTTTTTTTAAATAGAAAATAGAAACTATATGATTTGTCTCTCAAACATATGAAATGTAGAAAATAATGTTATTGTAAATGTTTAAAAATATCTACTGAGGTAAAAACAAATTAAACCTAGTGTTTTGGATTTAACGAGAATACCTTTTTAATATCATCATTTATCTTATTTTTAGCATCATTTCATCAATGATATGAGTAAATTAAAAGGCATATATATAATATATATACATCTAGTAGTATTACAGAACTATTAAATTTTGAGCTATCTTACTTGATAATTAAAATACTGTACATTTAACAAACTCTTACATTACATTTCAGTATTTAAAATAGCAGCTAAATGTCAATGCTCCCTTAAATAACTTCATAATCTTCGCACAATAACATGCAATGTCACACAAACTTATTATTAGTTAACCTTGCAACATTATATTTAACTGAACTTTAAAATGAAACATAAGGAAGGGAATAATACGCATTATTAATTAGTATTTTTAAATAACCATATAACTGCTATACTAACTACTAACTAATATTATAAAATGCAAAAGATTTTGTATTTTACACTAAGAAAGTTCACCTCTACTGTATAACAAATCAACAAGAATTTTTGCATACACAATGTCAGAGTTACGGAATGCATATAGGGTCTCTCATACAAATAAATGTAATAATTTAGAATCTGAGGTATATAAATAAGTAATAAGTTTAAGTTTGCTGTTTCATTTTTTTATTTGAATGTGGTATGTTAAAAAAATTGTGGCCTTTTTTTATGAAAAGAGGGACAAATGAGTAGATGGGTCACCTGATGTAAAGTGATTTCCGTCACTGTCAATTCAGGAATCACAAGTGCATTGCTGGCCTTAGAGGAAGGAGTATGCCCTTGCTTTCCTAAATCAATCTTTGCCTGAATCTCTTCTTTTTCTTTTCTTTTTTTAAAGAAAATTTCTGCACTAGGAGTATTTTAAATTCTGTGTCGCAGGGACTTTACAAACATACAGCATACGGACACAAGGAACACCCAGACTCAGAACAACAATTTATGGATAGTTCCATGTGGTGAGCGAACACACAACACTCAGTATAGTACAAAGCGGCGTTGCAACTCTTAAACCACTGCACAATCTGTGTAGTTGAAGCCCCCTTGTGTCTATTTTTCTCAGTGAAGTATTTTTGATTTAGTTTTGTGTTAAAATTAAATAATCAGTTATTCATAATGCTAAAAGAGTTAGTTAATATAAGTATGCGCCTTAGGAACATTTGGAACATACTCTTTAACGATAATGAAAAAAAAACTCACCTGTGGAACCAAAAATTACATCCTGATTCACATAATATTGCTTGATCATTATCATGTACTTCTTTGTGACATACTCCACATGGATATATTGGAGGAGCATTGGGGTTCTGAGGGTTAAACACCATTGGTTGATCTGGTGGATATACTTTACCAGCACTAACTGGCATAGGTTTTGGTCCAAACATACTCATATTTTGACCCATTGGTCCTACACCTTGCCCTCCAGGACCTCCCATAGCCATTCCACTCATTCCTGCTAAAGGTCCACAACTTCCCATATTACCAGGGCCTGGTCCCATACCCATGGGACCATTTCCACCCATACCCATTGGTCCTCCATGACCCATATGACTGCCAGAATAAGGTGGACCAGGACCCATTGAGCTCATTGGTCCATTACCACCCATGGGACCACCTCCCATTCCTGACGGCATAGGACTACCATGTCTGATTGGTCCACAATGCCCTGGACCCATACCACCACTTTGCATGGGGTTTGTAGACATTATAGAATTACTAGGGCCCATGGAACCATTTGAACAATTGGGTCCCATTGGTCCATTCATGCGAGGAACATTCATACCTGGCCCACCACCGCCCATTGGCCCATTCATAGGTCCATTCATTGATCCTGCACCAATAGGACTGTGCATGGGAGGTCCCATAGGACTGTTGCCCATATGACTGCCTGCCATCGATCCCATATTCATAGGACTTCCCATAGGTCCTGATGACATTGGAGAGCCCATTGGCATTGAGTTCATTGGGCTCATTGGACTACCCATTGACCTTGAGGTTGGACCCATTCCAGGCCCCATACTGTGATTGCTCATACCCATATTAGGACCTCCCATTGGTGACAAACCACTCATATGTCCCATTGGACTCATGTTACCCATAGGGCTAATCCCACTTCTAGGCGGCATTTGTTGGCTCATTGGGCTCATACTGTGTGATAATGGGCTCATGTGTCTCATAGGTGGACCACCCATACCATGCATTGCTCCCATCATTCCCATTGGGCCATTTTGACTCATCATTGACCCATTTTGACTCATCATTGGACCATTGTGGGAGACAGTAGATGGTGAATCATCAAAAGGGTTGGAGGCAACTATAGTATCTCCATATCCTGTCAATGGAGGGGGAAGCAGATCCTGTGCTGTAGGCGGTGGTTGTGAAGGTGTTAAAGCATTGTTGGCATTTGAAGTTTTCCTTCGTTTCTTCGGGTTACTAGGCGCTGGTGCCGGAGGTGTTGGAGTGTCCATGGGGGGCTTGAAGTCGGGTGGTCCAAGCCCAGAACCAGGCAGCCTGTAGGATGGCATTCCAGCCAGATTATGACTCATTCTGATACTATTCAGTTTCTGCTCTAACTATCGTCATTATAAATTGATAAAGTGAACACTCTACAAGAGAGATTTAGACATAAGGCACCGCATTATCACGAGAAAACGCAATAACGTGCCGGAAGGCTGCTCGTGTCTATTTCTGTAACAAAAAAAAATAACATGTTAAATTTTCTTATTTACTTACTATCTTTTCTATTTGTAAATATATTGACAGTACTCAAAGTAGTGCAGTTCAAAAATAGCCAAAATCTTGTTGACGATGGTTACGAATCTTGAGATTTGACACTATCGTAAGTAACCTGGCCCATAATAAATGCATTATATCTTTATTTTTTATCTACATAATATGTATCCATATTATTTAAAGAGAAGCCTGTAAAAACTATAGTAAAACACTTACTGCATTATCAATTTATCATCGGAATAAGTAATTATTTTTTTTGTCTTTAAGAGTTCCCAGGGCAGGCGTGCAACATATGACAAAATACTATTAGTAATTCACTGTTTTGGTTCAGTTCTGGTTATTCACTGAAGGCTTTCGCTTTCCTTAATGATCGACCACAAACGAAGTTCACTTAAAACAATGTTTAGTAATGCAACAAAAGCATTTTTATTTACAACTCACAGGGTTCCAAACAACACACGCCACATTCACGATGTATTTTCATTAAAATATTTTCGCCAGATGTCGCTTTGAAATGGCAGATTGTTTTTTAATGCTGGCAAAGGTATACAGCCATTTTGACTTCATTCATTTTCGTGATGGATTCTCCAATTTCAAGTAATTTAAAATGTAAAAAAAAATACATTTATATTGTTTTGGTTTATACATATTATTTGTGTAAAAAAGAGTAAAGAAAGAAAGAAAAAAATAATTAAACGGCGTGAGGGGTCTATGGACCCCCGGTCGGAACGAAGTTCCTTTAGCTTTTTGGCAGACGTTGCTATTGTGTCGAAAAAAGTCTTGCTAAAAAAATTTCGATCTCGCTCCCATCAGCTCAGAGCGTGTAACGCGCGATAAGGAACTTCGTTCCAAAAACCAAATTTTGAACAACAAAAGCGATTATATGGCAATCACGTTTACTTTTTAAAAGTAATAACTTTTAGTTATTAAGAAAAGTAGTCGCTATAAACAAGCGAATTTTTTTTTAAATTGATGTAACTTCTTAGGGAAGTCGATGGTTGTTTGGTTGTTTACCACAAATTACCGGTTGTTAAATACCTAAAGAAAATATTGGTACCTGGAGTTCTCACACATTCAGACAGAAACCATGGTCAAATTCCTGCACGATGGTCAGGATTTACCTAAATACATTTGTCTAGATAGATACATTGGTTTAACATGTGACAAACAGAGTAAAAAATAGTCGAACCGAATAGTGTCTTTTTGTTAGACGAAAGCCTAAGTTGCTATAGTCCAAGACTTAAACCGGGCTTGTAACACAAAAGGGTAATGAGCGGGAAATAGTTAAACAGAACGGACTCCTTTCAAATGAAATAGGTCTATATTTCCACTAACGAAGAGTTTTGTCCTGTCTTTGTCCCTAACGGACTAGTTTCAATCACTTTTTACTTGTTCGATATGCACCCGCTCACCTATTTCTGTATGGACTGTTATGCGAGTGGAATGGACTTAGTAATTATCCACCCCGCTCCCTAGAACTGATCGAGTTCAACTCAACTATTTCTGCTCGCTTAGTCCTTTCCGCTTGACGTTTTTTAGATAGGAATTCAAGTATGCAGTTTACTCTTACGAGTTAAACGGAGTCCTTGGCGAGTCAGTTCTACTCGCGGTGGTAACCGGGCTTTAAAACGCAATCATGTGATATCGCAAAATATGTGATATTCCATTGTGGAGGAACGGGTGTCATGTCCCTCCAACACAAAGGGAGGATCCTCCGACCAGGCTAGGTGATCATGCCTGGCGGGCCGCGGCCCAACGGTTGATGTTAGGAAGTTGTATATGTGCTAATCGGCGAGGGAATTCTTTATATCGCGATACAGGATTAGCAATTCTTATTTTAGTAGTTACTCCATAGTTCGGTGTGTCTTCATTAGATGGCGCTGTAGTATGTTTCTGTTTCTTTGTATGTGGGAGTCGCCACACCATAAAGAGTGTATGGATTGCCCATTGACTACTTTATTCAAATACGGTAGGATTGGGTTTAACAATGGACAAGGTTATAGCATTCCGTATTAAACCTCTCTGAAAGTCACTCAACGGATTTGGTGCTAGTGGTAGTCCTATTAACGATTTATCCAAGGAAAAGATACTTGCTCTCTTGTGAAAAGACCTTGTCAACAGAGATGTTTCCATTAGCCAGGAATACGGGTTGATTTGTGAATAAGCGCGGTAACTCCTTAAGTGTCAGTACTCAGTAGTATAGTCCTTCTTGTTGTTCTTTTAAATCAATGGCCCCATCGGATATCGTCGATTCTGCCAACATCAGGGTGGGAGGGTGGTGGGAGGTAGATTTATTAGTTAATAGGTTGAAAATACTTTTAAGACAAAAAGGGGAGAATTGTTTGTGCTTCTGTAGGGAAGGAGAAAAAAGTTTATAATATGGATGTCAAAGTATCAGGAAACATTATGAATTTATTTTGTTAATACGAATGAACTTGTAAAGGACCTTGACCAACGGGGTGTGAACTAGAGTTAAGAGATAAGCCAAGTTAACGGGTTGGGATATTTGGTGAGGGAGTAGATCGTAGAGAGTAGTACAGGTTTAGGGCATGAGAAGAAAATATGTTCAAGAGTGCCTTCGTCGAGAAGTAGTAGAGTTATAGTACAAGATTATTATAATTGGCATTACTAGTAAGAAAAAACAGAATAAATCGATCAGTATTATTGTATTCTGTTGAGGAAGAGCCTGCACCACGAAAACGTTTTTACAATAACACAAGACGTGCAGAGCCTAATCAGAAAAAAAAAACAATTCATCAAGATTGTTGACATTGACACTAGTGACATTTGACAATAGTATCTTTGGAGGTTAGGTTACGCTTAAAGCCTATACATATAGTCTGACGTTGTTTAGGAAGAAATTTAATTTAATTTTACATACTTAAAGCTTGAACTTAATTGATTAAATGGTTGAAAATGGCGTTGAATAGGTTATTTGCAAATTTAACTTTAACGCCGGTAACCACCTTAATATCCAGACGATCTATTCATTTGGCTGTAGTGAATTTAGCAAGTAAACCAAATATTTATAAACCTAAACCTGGATTAGGCAAAAGTTACAGGCGAATAGTACATTTCCCAGAAGAGTACACTGTAAAACCTTTGAATGTTACTAACCTCGCAGGCAGAGATCCTGAATCTGGTTAGTTACACATGTTCTATTATAATTTTATTATGTATATAAAGGTGTCTTGTTAGTACTTCTATAAACGTAAACATTCCAAACTGCAGGTCGAGTTATAGCAAAAGGGATCGGTGGAGGCATTAAACAAAAGTATCATTGGATAGATTGGTTAAGAACAGGACCCACCGAAGGACCACCACAAGAAGAAAGAGTTATTCAGGTAGGTACTGCTTGATATATTATATTCATACATCAAAAATTGAAACTACTTAAGCATGCATTATCATACTATGTGGGTATGTGTCCAAAAAGCATGTTTAAGTATAACAAATTAAGTGAAAATTATGTAAAAATATATTTAATTTTACATTAAATCATTGTAAATTCCTTTTTTTTTAATGTTTTGCTTGTGTTAGGGGTACCGTTTCATATGTTTGTTTTATGTTGCAACTAGAAAAAGGTTGGTCTTTAGGCCTATTCTAGGTATACATTCTGTGTTTAGACTACTTTTACACAACCTCTAAGATTCCACACCACCTTAATTGTGTCTATGGGAATTTAAGCTCATACCTTTGAAATGACTGACATTTTGACCAGGGTGCAGAGGCCGAGGTGTGGTTAGACAGACAACAGTTCTTAATACTTGTTGTGAGCAAGCGATAGTGTCTAGACTACCACTTTATATTAATATATACACGGTGTAAGGGACATCTTACCGAATACTGAAATAGTGTATTCAGACCACTGACTGAATACACATGTAGTTATTACTTTTGTGCGATACCTACAGGGAATGACCTTAACCTTTGACAGCTGATTGCATAAAAAGTAATTTTCCGGCAGAAAATTCCAATGATTTTCGACTCAGAATGATGGTCTGAATACACTATTTCAGTATTCATTATGACATACCTTACACCGTGTATAAGGAGAGGCAAGATAAAAAAGATTTGATCCAAAATATAGATCTAATTTTAGGTTCTAGAAGATGGTTGCAGAACTGCTCATATAGCCTTAGTTGCTGTAGGTGATAAACTGAAATATATATTGGCCACAGAGAATATGAAAGCCGGTGACATACTTAAATCCTCTCGTGAATTACCTAGGATTCCAGGTAAATATATGAACTCTGAAGCCTTACGTCAATTGCTTTCTACATCAGTGACAGAAATACTTTTAACATCCAAGGAGGCCATCATTTAAGTATTGATTTATTCCAGGAATGAAGTATAAAAAAAATTGACATAAAAGTGATGCAATAAAAGATTTCATTATCAATTAGCCTTAAACAAAGAAATCGTTTTTCACAAGAGAAGGTCTTATCTGAACATAGCACACAGACCCATGTCACATTTTTCAGTCATATAAAGACACAAATTTTAATTATTAATGTGTCCAAGTTTCCAACTTTACCATGTCTTTATGGTGGAACCTAAATTTATACAGCAAAGCACATGTATTTAATGAAATGATATCAAATACACAAATTATAAAAACATATTATATTTTTTCAGTCAGAGCAAATGAAGGTGATGCATATTTGTTGGGAGCTCTACCATTTGGAACTGTCGTACATTGTATTGAAAAAGTGCCTGGTAAGTACTAAAGTTTCTTAAACTGCAACAATTCCTAGAAAAGGAATTGTTGTGTCTGCTAAATAGCGTTCAATGTGTTAATAACTACTAAGTAAATGCTAATGTAAATACTACATCATCTTTGATTTTATTATTCATTGGTGTCATGAAAAAAATACTCCCCAATATCATTAAGCATGTAATTATCTGTTACGAAAACACTGTTCATAACACTATGTACATACAGGTCATGCCAGCCTGTGACCACGGCCAGTACTGGTCGAAACTTCAGGCAATTCAATAGGAATGTACCTAATAATTTGTATGCCTATCGGTGGGACATAGCTTGTAATAGTACTATCGTGAGTGCGTTCATATAATACATAATCAAAATGGTAAATTCATGCAGCAGATAGGTACTGTTTTGTCAAGAAAATTTTAAATTAAGTTGATTTATTTTTCAGTAACATTTTAAAGAATATTATCTTACCATTTATCTTTGACAGGAATGGGTGGTCTATACATACATGCGGCTGGTACATTTGGTACAATTTTAAGGAAACAAGATGACAGAATTGTAGTCCAAATGCCTTCTAAAAGGTTGTTCAGTTTTGATCCGAAATGTATGGCTGTAGTGGGTATGTATAAATTTATATTGTATTACAAACAACGAAAGTGACCGAATCGCTAAAGGTGTAATTTGCCATTGCCAATTTTATTAAGAAGTATCTACCTTTCCTAACATATTATGCCGAAGATATTATCTTACTTACTAGAGACAAAGACAGGCGAGCCCTGTGTTCACTTCCCGCTCAATTCAAACATTTGTATTTCTGTATGTAATATTATAAAAAAGAGCATAAATAATATTCATCCGTGTAATATCCATCCGTGTGATAGCACTGTGTAAATGTCCAACAAAATTATTAAAAGTGTTTGTATGTAAAATAATTTTCTAAAGTTTTCTCATGCATGGACACAATCTGTAAAATTATTATAATTTAAGATTATTTATTACGATTTGTTGTATGACATATAATTGTTTTAAGGCTTGAATTAACAAAAAATATAGTTGTTATTATAGACAAATAATAATTATAGTTTTAATAATTATTGTACATTCTAGGTCGCCTATCCAATGCGATTCACTCAAGTACACCAATAGGTTCTCCACAGCGCAACAGATGGCTCGGCAATAGACCACGGTCAGGTTTATGGCAGAGAAAGTCCGGCCGACACGGAAGAAAAATCAAACCTCCGAAGCCAATTAAAGAAATTCATGCTGCCAAACCGAAGTCGCTGCCAGCGATCCAGATGACAATGTGTCCTTAATTTATTGAAGTAGTTTATATACATATACATAGTAACAATAAAAGTTAATCATAATAACATTAGATGGTTCAATTAAAAAAAAAATGCATCTATATGGCTTTTTAATTTGATATATTCAGTCAATATACTTTAAAAATTAACAAACAAACATTAATTCATGAACGACTTTTTTTTTTTTAAAGACTCCCGCATTAGGAATATATCCTGTGTCGCGGGGGACTTTACAAACATACTTCACGGACACAAAGAACACCCAGACTCAGAACAACAATTTGTGGATCACACAAAGTGTCGTCCCATGTGGGGTTTGAACCCACAACACTCGGCGTTGTAGGAAGCGGCGTGGCGACCGCTTAAACCACTACGCCATCCGTGCAGTCGATTGCATTAATAATAGATTCTAATAATAGTCCGGTCATTTTAGACATAAAAATAGTGATCAAATAAAAAAAATTCCGACAGAGCCAAATCTTTGTAGAGACCTTAGGTTTACCACAAGGAATAAAGTGTCAAAAGTCCCCATCAATCCCATGTGAGCTTAGGGACTTATTCGGGGCCGAAGGTCAAAATTTTAGGTTTTTTTAGGATTTTAAGTTTTATCGAAAAAGTACCTCAGAGCAAAGTTGTAGATCTTAAAATTCTCTATAAAAATGGTCCCTTTGATTTTTTCTCTAAGACCCACTATTTCCCAGATATTGCGCTTGTAAGAATCACGTTCTACATAATATGCACACATTTCCAAACCACCTGTAAGGTAGTGTACTCGGCGCGTTTTTTTTAACGTGGTATCCCCGGTAGGCCTAATCCATACATATATATTCTATACATTAATATCAGCATTATCTGCAACATATTGAACAAATGTGCCAGTTTCTGGTGATAAAATGTGAGGTGGGCGACTGAAAACTGCTGCTACTTCATACTTCATTGTTTCACTGTAAGATGCGCATAAACCAAACGATGAGAAAATTTGTAGAAGCCGTTTTGAACCAAACCGCCGATGGAAAAAAACTGAAAGACCCAGCTGTAATTTAGACTTGAAGGATCTAGGACGAACAGCAGTGAGTGCTATGACTAATATTTGCGCAAACTAACTTTAAATGATCCAAATCATGACGCTTATTTTTAAGAATGATTTGTCCCAAAAAAAAAGATAATGATTCGGGAATATAGTTATTTATATCTTCAAACATTCTACCCGGTGGCGGGTACATAGTATTATCAAATATACAAGAGTGAATATCTTCTCGAATAATTTCTGCCGCAGCTTTTAAAGTTTTCCACCGTTTTTCCTTTTCATTCAAGTTTTTGTTATCAGACCAGGCTTGACTTAATATCAGTTCATCTAACGAAAACTGGCAGTCATCGCTACTTTCAATGAAATTGAAAATTTCCTCCATTGCAGAGTTTATAGCCTCACTTTGAGGACGGCCAATTTTACCGCCAGTATTAGGTCTCAGGAAGGATTTGTAACAACTGTCATGGTATTTAGCGTCAGTAGCAACTAAATCATACTGAAAATTAATACGCGCAAAGACAGCTTTTGACACATCATCAGAACGATCTTTAGCTAATTTTAAAATGGAATCTTTGAATGTAAGTGTAGAAACTTTATGAATTTTTCGGCGATAAATCTTCACTTTCTTCTTTTCTGCTTCTTCATCCGCTTCATCGCCACAAAATAAGCAGTGGTTTTTAAAACAAAAGCTGGATTCACTTATTCGCGCTCTAGTATGAGGTGGACTTACTTTTGAAGTACTGGCATGTTCTTTCTCACGTTGTCTTTTTGATGCAGAGATTGAAGTTTTCCGGGTGTATGATTTTCTGCAATCCACGTGAATTGTAACGGACTTTTGGCTTCTTAAATAACCAGCAAACTCATCACTTCTCGCGACACTTGCATTGATTAAAGTTGGCATTCCACGACTGACCATAACAGTTTCATCTTCAGTCAAAAGTTTATTACAAGTAAAGCAAAATTGTGACATTTTTTTTTAAATATTAATCCGCACTAACTTCAATAGTAGACGCTTGTAATAAATACGTATAGTCACTCGAACTGCTCGTTCAACACTAAAAGAATCAGTCATACGTGAACGACACCACATGGACAAAAGAATAGGCAGATGTTTTTCAAGGCCAGATGTTATTCAAGTAGAGGGGATTCGGTAAGGGACCGGCGGTCATTTTAGAGTAAATTTTCTTAGAATAGTATAATGTATACATAAAAGAGACACGAGTAGGCATTTTTGCTTGCTTGAGTACCTAAATATGTATATACGTGGCATATGTGTGCATACTATGTAGAACATGATTCTTACAAGCGCAATATCTGGGAAATAGTGGGTCTTAGAGAAAAAATTATAGGGATGGTCCCTATAATTTTTAATAGAGAATATTTTTTTATAGAGAATTTTAAGATCTACAACTTTGCTCTGAGGTACTTTTTCGATAAAACTTACCGTTTTCGAGAAAAATCGAAAAACCTAAAATTTTGACCTTGGGCCCCGAATAAGTCCCTAAGCTCACATGGGACTGATGGGGACTTTTGACACTTTATTCCTTGTGGTAAACCTAAGGTCTCTACGAAGATTTGGCTCTGTCGGAATTTTCTTTATTTCAATTGTCTAAAATGACCGGACTATAATGGCAAGATATCTTCATCATCATCATCAACAGCCTATACTAGTCCACTGTTGGACATAGGCCTCTCCTTAGAAAGGAGGTGGCAAGATATCTTATGTCTAAGTATTATACACTGGCATTTACTCCGTTTCCGTTATTATAATTATTTGTGTATTTTAATATTTTGATGACTCGTATTTTGAAGATTATTGAGGTGTTACTACCTTATTTTGATATTTAAAGTACTGTGACAATAAATAACAGGTCACAAGAACCATGATCACTCAGTTTTGAGGCAAGTGGATCGAACGCTGTATGTGCTGCATGTTAAATATGTTGAACAACATTTCTTAGCACAATTAAAATTCACAACGATTTTTGAAGGGTTCACGAGTAGTCGCACTAGCGACTACTTAACGCGATAGAGAGAATAGCGCGAGACCAGTAATATTGGTCTTGAGCCTACAAACTAAATTAGTGCTTTCTCAGGAACTAGGCTCTCGTTACCTAACCGCTTTTTTAATAAAAAAAACTCAAGGATTTTGCTAGATTACCTCTTTTAGGATAAAGACTCGGTTAAAGGTTTTCTATTGCTCGATTTATTACAATTATAAATATAATGTGAGAGATTAATAACACAATTTGAAACACAATGACATGATTACCAATAAAATTCATTAGGTACCAGCCCAGTCGTTCCCTTTTACGTACAAATCCGCGTCCTTTAAGCAAGCCGTGAACAAAGAGTGAAAAGAAAATCTTTCGAGGTCTTTAATCATGACAAAACCATTTTTGTATCACCACTATTATAGGCGGCGCTTGTGTCTCCTGAGCTGCAGGCGTTCATGGGCGGCGGTAGTCGCTTTCCATCAGGTGACCCGTCTGCACGATTGCCCCCTCTTCCTTCAAAAAAGGTATAGTGGCCTTAAATTACAATCAGGTGGGTTTAAGTCAGGCTTGATATCCTGGCGGATATGGCCTCGAGGGTCTATGACCAGAGTCCCGCGATATGGGTGAGCGGGGAAAACGAGGACAAGCTCGAAATGCGGCGGAACGCTCACTGACAGGCGGCTAAAACAGCCGCGAAATGCGCTTCAGCTGTCGGTGCTGTTCTGCCTAACCTCGAAGCTTGGGTAGGTAGGGAGGGAGGTCGCGTCACCTACCAACTGACGCAGGTACTCACTGGGCATGGATGCTACGGTGAGTACCTGAGTCGTATCGGACACGAGGAGACGGCACAATGCTATCACTGCGCAGCCGACTGGGACTCCGCCGAGCACACGCTGGAAGACTGCCACGCGTGGGCGTCTGAACGCGAAGTCCTAGTCGACCAAATCGGACGAGACCTTTTCCCGCAAGCAACGATTGCTGCCATGCGCTGGCGGGTGATAAGGGATGGGGCGCAGTGGTCTCTTTCTAATGCTAAGCTAAGTTCGTGGATCGGAACGGGAACGGGATCGTGACAGGGCCGATCCCGAGCGTAGAGGGGACGCCGGCGACGATTTGAAAAAAATTGAAACACATGATTACCAATAAAATTTATTAGGTACCAGCCCAGTCGTTCTCTTTTACGTACAATTCCGCGTTCGACGGGGCGGACGCCAAAGAGTGGAGAGCTCTGGTGGAAGCGGTAGGGGATAGGATGGAGGCCTGATCGCATTAAGACGCAAATGGGCCGCCACGCAGCGATTGAGGCGGGGAAGTGGTTTCCCCCTGGGATAGGGCCTGATTAGGCAATGGAGATCCGAAGATTTTCAAAAAAACAAGTAAAATGTTTTTAAAGCCATAAATATTATATTTACTTAATAAAATATATTCGGAAGATAAAATACAGTCCATATTATATTATACTGAAACTCAACACAACAACAGAGTAAATACGTTTATTTGACACAGCCTTAAGCATTTTGCACGTCTATCGCAACGCATTTCTGAGATAAGTACATTACTCAGCACAGATTAGGGTCCTCAGGTTAAATTAAGGTTTTTCAGCGCCTATAAGTGTTGTTTAACAACAACTTTCCTTATTTGCCGTTACAATTGAAATGGAATTCAAAAAACGTTCTACTTTATATACGAGAGTAGTAAGTTTCCGACCTCAACACGAAGATGGCAGCACTCGTAAATAAAAGCTAGTGAATTTCGTTGTTTATCTGTTGAAAGTTTTATCCACATTGAACGCGCAGTTGTTATGTAACAATCGTTTGAGTGAGTTGATGTGAGTGTTTTTATGAAAATGGACACAATTAAGTATCGAGCTGTCATTCAATTTTTTTTTTGAAAGGCAATACTCCTACGCAAATAAAAGATAAGTTGGATTCTGTGTATGGGGATTCTGCACCATCATTTACCACAGTGAAATTTTCGGCGCTTGTTCACGTTAGACCAAAAACGTGTTCGAATGAACATGTCCAACGCTCTGTTGGCGCAATTTAGGCGCAATAAATCCGAGTTTTGGCGCCGATTAATTACTGTAGGTGAAACTTTGATACACCATTATACGCCCGAAACAAAAATAGTCTAAACAGTGGACTTCAAAGGGGAACCGGCTCGGAACCGGAAGTGATGGCGACTGTTATTTGGGATAGTCATGGAGTTATTTTAATCGATTATCTCCATAAGGGAAAAACCATTATAGGAGCATACTACGCAACTTGACAAGCTGAAAGCAGAACTTGCGGCAAAACGGCCACATTTGCAGAAAAAGAAAATCCTATTTTAACAAGACAACGCACCGTCTCACATCTCAGCGGTTACCATGGCGAAAATCTACGAATTACGGTTTGAACTGCTTGACCATCCGCCTTACTCACCAGATCTAGCCCCAAGCGACTTCTTGTTCAGTCATCTAAAAATTGTGCTCGGTAGACAGAGATTTTAGTCAAATGAAGAGGCAATCACCTTCGTGAACAAATATTTTGCAGAGAAAAACGCCAAGTACTATTTGGACGGGTTACAGAGATTGGAGCATAGCTGGGAGAAGGTTGTAGAGTTACAAGGACTATGTTGAAAAATAAAAAATCTGAAAAAAGGTCTTGTATCTTTGTTAGGTCGGAAACTTTTCGGACCACCCTCGTATATTTATTTTAAAACTGTTTCTACGTCGAGATACTTCAATAAAAGACGTAATACATGTGCGAATAAATTTAGAAGCACCTGTTTAAAGTAACTTTTTGCCACAGGCAAAGCTATTTGAATAATTATATTTAAACATTTAAATACACTTGAAAGCAGGTACATACATTATTTTCTAATGTTTAAAACACACTACTTTAAAATATGGCATTTATTTATTCCACATTCTCTTTTTCACTTTATTGCGCTAACAAGAGGCAAAATCTAATAAAATCTACCTTTTTTTTTTTCCGTGCGGAAATCCCCTCGGATACCACCTGTCGGTGGCATGTCGGACTCGAACCGACTAAAACCGCACGCCGTCGCCGGGTACTAATAGCCGGAGAACCAGGTATACCCTAGAAAGGAAGTCCCTGGTGCCCCGACATACCTCGGGTCATCTACAGACTAGTAGACGACCCCCTCCCGAATAAAATCTACCTATAGAGAAATTCTTGTTCTAGGCTTTGGACAGATTATATCCGTCAAGTTTGCTTGACTGGTACAGTCAGTTTACTAAAAAAAATGATTTATAAATTCTTGATTAAAAAATGATTTAAAAACAATTATCAAACTTATAATTCCAAAACATGTTTATATTCTTAGAGATACTTATAATTATTATAACACATAACAAAAGAATATAACAATAGTACACCGTTTACGAAACCGTGAAGCGGTATAATTATCATAACACATAACAAAAGAATATAACAATAGTACACCGTTTAGAAAACCGTGAAGCGGGACGTGGCCTATGACGTAATAACTTGCGTGTATCGCAGTGAAAAGTAAATCTGGCTGTCCCGTTGTACGATCTTATAGCTGCCACCTTCAATTACATTTAGATATCACTTGTTTCTTCATCATCATCAGTAAGGGTCAGTACCTGTAAATAATACATTAAATCATATGCCTGTAATGTTTTATATTATCTCGACCGTTATCTATCTGCTTATTTAATGGCAACTTTCAATGTTTGGTTAGAGCACTCAACAACAGCCAGCGCGAGTTACATGTCCTGAGCTGCTGAGCAACGTGCAATAATAATAAAAAACTTGACGAATCTCTCACACGGCCGTCTGGTACCAAACTGTGCACAGCCTGTACTATGGTAACCGGACTGTTCATAAACATTTTATATATTTCTAAATACATACAATTTATAGATAAATTACACCCGACACAACAAATGATCGTGTTCATCACACAACTGTTTGTCCTGGGTGGGAATCGAAGCCACGAATTTCGGCTTAGTAGTCAGGGTCGCTAACGACCAGACCAACAGGCCAGTCATAAGGCAATAAATAAGCCAAAGGCTTACACTCGGTACTCTATCCGTATAAGCAATATCGCTTAACATCCCTTTCCTTCGACTATTCCACCCATCTAATGCCTAAATTACCTGATTTACGGCAATAGTCTTGTCCCCTATTACCTAAGTGGAACTAAACCAAACCAATCCGTCGCTAGGCGATTTACTTAGGGGTTGTAATTCTGAATTTAAATTGGTTGTGTTTTATTTAAATTGTTTGTCATGGATTTTGACAAGGGAAAGTACACTCAAAAACGCCCCACTATCTATACTCTATACAAATAAATAAAATTGGAGTGTCTGTTTGTAATATTAAAATAGCCGCTTTTTACTAAATGCATATGTATGTTTACACGGTACATATGCCAAAATAACTTTTTTACAATTTGTGTCTGTCTGACAGACTATCTGTCTGTTTGTTCCGGGTAATCTCTGGAACGGCTGGACTGATTTCGACGGGACTTGCACTGGCAGATAGCTGATGACATAAGGAGTAACTTAGGCTACTTTTTTTAGATTAGCTTCGCCCCGCGGCGTTGCCGGCGGTTATAACAACAAACGCCGGTAACACCGCGGGTCTCAGCTAGTATAATATATGTCCATATATACATGTCCAATATTTCTAAAAGCACTGACAATTGCGGCGGACCACAATAGGGCCAAGACGCCGCGGTTAGCCGGAATGCGGCGTGCCGTTGCGGTTTAGCCTTACTCAGAGATCCACATCATAACGATACATCCTAATTATGTTAGAAACCTAGAACCCACAATTTTTGAGAAACAAAAATATTTAACTTCATTGTAACTTACTTCAGTCATTTCCGCATTGAGACGCCATTGTGAGAGTCCAGTCAAATCATCCAAATATTTTCCGCTGTTGAAAACCTTCAAGAGAAACTCGCTGCCTTCCGCCATATAATTATTCAGTATAATAACTGAACACGCCACGCACTGGTTGAACTTTGGACATGTGGGTAACATTGTCTGATATGAATGTAGAAACCCTCTAATAGCGTGAGGTACAGGACCCAGAACGCCTTCTAAACCCGGAATGCTTTCGCCTTCATCGCTTAAGTTGTACGGAGCTGGCGCTAGTTCTCTAAAAATATTAGTTGAATTATATATCTCAGATAATTTTGGCTAAGTATGGCGCCATTTGTAAGTTTCACCTTTGTGGATGTTGTAGAATGGCTACGAGGATCTCAACGGCTAAAGCTCCGGCTATCGCGGCTAAACCTGGCCGCGTTACTGTACACTGTTGATCTAGAGTGCGATCTTGTAATGACTGCAAACATAATTTACGTTAATAATAGGTAGGTAGGTATAATATTTATATTCTGTTCATAAGATATACTTACATTACATTTTAAGATCTGGGAACAAACATTAGTTCAAAAACCACCACACTTTAAATGTTACTTACATTGCCGGGTACTGTGACGTCATTGCAGAAATAACATCCGAGATCTCCACCAGAGATCCACTTCGCATTGGTATAAGCACTACCGGCAGTCGATGACCCGTCAGCTGCCCCGTGTCGCATCACTACGTAACTGTCGAACCCTAGTGCGGCGTTTATTACTATCTGGTAAAGTCAAATAATACCAAGTGTTTATAAAAATAATATTTGCATGTAATATGTTTAACGCCCATAAAATATTTAAATAAATTCAAATGTTTTCATGAAGACCCGAAAAGCTTTTTAGAAAGTAGTACCTTTTTATAAGAAGCACCTAGAGCTGTTGGAAGCCAGCGTGCTTCCCGAGAGTCTAGCAATAAGAATATGACGTCATGCTCCTCAATGGCTTCTGTTATGATCTTGATATTCCTTAATGTTTCCTCTCTTAACGATTCGCCTACAGGATGTCCGGGCATTGGAATGTGAGCTACTATGCCTTTAGTAACCTAAAAATGATTTTTTAAATTAGTATAATAACATTCCATCAATCAATCAATCAATTTCTGTATAAATAAATTTAAATATTACATTACAGAAGTTAGAGCCGTCTGACAGACAGTGGCAGTTTAGTAATAGGTTTCCGTTTTTACACTTTTTGTATGGAAGGGCGCAGTACTTTCATACTACATATTTATGTGTTTTGTTTCTTACATAACATTTTTCAAGCCTCATTTCTTTGAATTAAGTTGAAAGTTACAATCATACATGACACGGACACAAAACTAAAATTCGTGGATTACACAAAACGTTGTCCTATGTGGGGATCGAACTCACAAAACTCAGCGTAGTAGGAAACGGAGAGGTGTCCGCTTAAGCCACTACGCTATCCATGCAGTCAATGATCAGTAAATTACATTAGGGTCACCACACTCACCAACCTTTCACAAGCGTACATTTCCCAAGCATGTTTAAAGTGGCTTGGACATCCGATAAAAGGTTGTGGGTTCTAAGTTCATTCAATACCTACTCAGTATACTTTCGCAACACTTACGACGGAAGGCAGGATACGTCTCAAATTGTCAGCAGCTGCCTCAGCCTTCTTTTTCCCTCCATTGAGACAATCCTCGTGGGTGTAAAGAACTTGCCGAGTTGGATTTGAGTAAGATACTTTTCCGTTGTCTAAAAAGGTTATATGGCGGAATCCCCATGCCTGAAATAATGTTTTATTTTAAAAATGGAAACTGGCTAGAACTTGCGATTTCCTATAAAATGTTTAACTATGTAAACCCAATGTGCTAGGCTCTTTAACTAAATATGAAACAATCGCGTTCAGAGGATTTTATTTCACATCAACTCACTCTCAATGGCGACCGCGTTCGGCGTTGCGATTGGTGAAGATTTCAGTGAGGGCCGTTTGATCGAATTCATGTGCAATAAACTCACATTAGGCCCTCTGAGCAGCTTGATCATGGCCCTATTATGTATTACCAATTTCAAGAAATACAAGTAAAATCACGTTCACGTCACAGGTATAATCCGGGCTTTCATAATATAAATTATTTTAATGAAATCGGTTAAAATAAAGCATAAAACAGATGTTCACTAAAATTTACTTTACTTTCGATTTATTTCAACAATACAGTTTTACACAAGTCACATTCACATTCCAATGTTTATTTATGAAAATTTAACAATATTATGTTTACCTTCTCATAATTTTTAAAATCTTACCAGTAAATCTCTAGCCACTTGACAACCGAGTGTACCAGCTCCTAAGAGCAAGCACTTAGTTTTCTTCATCACTTCTATATCTATATCAGGTACTAGTCGCCATTTCATGAGTTTTATATTGAGATCCGAGGATGTATCAGCCAACCTATTAATAACCATAAAGTGCTTTTTTATTATGTGGCTACATATATTTCAAATTTAGTTCAAATTTTTTTTGCAAGATCTAGTGCTTGTATCCACAAAAGGGGTTCTTAGATGGATGTTGTATGTCTATCAGATAGTTGTTAAATTTTATAGTTGTTAGTTATATATTATTATTTTGTACACAACAATAAATAAGCAGAACAAGAGTGAATCATTTCAGAGAGGCCTTTTTGTAGTGTATGAGGAAGGTATGAGACAGTCAAACTCACAATGTGCTTGTGCAAGACTACTATTCTTTCTTTCGACTAACATTCTTTGTTTAGGAATGTCCAGAATCTACAGGACAAGGCAGATACAAGGAAAGTGATGTAACTACAGATGTGTCACAATTGAACTTACACAACTGGATCAAGGGATGCCGACATGTTGGCAAGTTTCGGTCCAAAGTTACCCTTATCATTTCGTTCCCATCCCACCCATCCAGCTGCATCACTTTTTGTAACATCCTGAAATTTACAACCATGTACTCACCAGACTGTATGAACAACATAATATACAACAATATTTACGAATTTCTTTACCAAGCTGAAAATTGTTTTCAACTTTATCAGAACCAGTCTCTTTCGATTCAGTCCTTATCAGCATTTGTGCCAATATTTTTAATGGACCGTGTAGGTTCAATAATTCCAAACTGTGCATTGGCAGCTGTGAGAAAATAACTAACCATCACCTACATTTTATACAATTTCACCCTTCAATATCAAGCCTTAGATCCCTTGCTGCACTTATGCCTAGTTCATCAATCATTTAGTCGGTGCTTAACTATCGTTTTACGATAGTGGCATAAGTGAGATAATTGTCAAACAAAGCAAAATTTCTTTGCAAAATAAAAATTTATTTCAAAATAGTTGGCCCCGCCCAATTTACGTTGATTCTACTTATCCATGTGGTGACGAATTAAGAATACGGAATGTCACCACCCCTATTCATTCCGTGGGTGTCGTAAGAGCCGACTAAGGGAGCGAAACACGCAGGACAACAGCACTGCAAAGAGAATGAAAACTTGAAACAAACCCTATACCAACCCGTCTGGCCAGCATGGTATAGTAGGCCAAAACCTCCTTTCTAAGGAGAGGCTTACGTCCAGCACTGGACTGTTGATAATGATAATTATTTCTGCGAATACTTTCAATACACTGAGAGGCATAAGTGAGAAAATCGGTGTTGAACTTCTGTCACTATCTGCCGGTCTATATAGGAATAGAGTGTAGCCAGTTGATAACTTTACATACTTTTAAAGCAGGTGGGAATAATTACGTGAGAATGCTTTAAATATGTATGTACTGTTAGAATTATTATAAAATACTATTGAACGCATTCTGTATTCTCATTTGCCAATAAAATACATTAACATTTTCTAAATAAAGCCTATTGAAAAGAAATAAGGAAAGAAGAATCAACAACATTAAGACCATTATGAGGACAGATAAGATGGTTGTCAGCAACAACTTTTACATTAGACTACATTGAAATACAAAAAAAGAATTTTGTATGAAAATTTTTAAAATAGATCAAACAATTATCTAGACCCTGATCATGATTTCATGCAAGTTAATGAGTTTTTTTTTTTATATATTCTTAGGAAATACACAACTTACCACAGGTATTTTAACTGAAAATATACAACTATTTTCCACTCCACCAAATATGTTACATCGAAGACCTATTACATTAATATTACAACCAATTAATGTTGGACAGTAGTCCAATAAAGCTGCCAAAAACACTCTTAAAGCCCAACCAGGATTGACTCCATTACTTGGATCTTGAAAAACAAAGTAGACAGCATTTATCGCAAGATGGCATTCAGTTTGTCTTAAAAATTGTGCTAGTGTTTGTACTTGAATAGTATCATTTTCTTTAATAATGCTGAAGAAACATTTTTGTTCATCATCCAATGCTTTGTAACTTTGTGCTAAGTCTTCTAACTGTTTATTTGTAAATGCTGATGTTATACATGAACCCTTTCTAGTCAGATACACAGTTGGTTGACTGGGTGCAGGGAATGCAAACCAGTAAAAATAATGGAACTTCTTGAGATCCTAAAAAAAGTTTTTTGAGATAAGATTTATTTCTCAAATAGAATATAAACATAATAGTTAAATGCAAAGTCAAAGATACATTCACTAAAATCGCATGGATCCTGTCACAACTGAGACTGTTGCAAAGGCATATCCTAGGTGTATACAAGAAAAGTTCCCAAAAAAAATGAAATCTTACTTATTTTTAAAGTTAAATATCCTGACTGATAACTTCTATACATTAAAAAAAAATCAAATTAAAAATAAGTCATTATAGTAGGTTGTCCCATATTTCATTTACCAAACTTTACAAACCATGTGTAAAGTTTGGTAAATGAATTATGGGACAACCTACTATAATGACTTATTTTTAATTTAAAATAATTCTTCATTGTTAACAATTTAAATATGTATGTGGTAGATCTATGCTCTAAAATATTGTTTTGGAACAAGCAATTCTTAATTTATCTTTTCAGTGAAAAAATTTGTGTAACAGAATACTCACAGCAAATGAGAATATAAAGAAGTTTAACAAAGAACTTGGTTTATCAATCCATGTCCCTTCCTTTAAGTTTTCCCATATTGTTTTACCAACAGAATTCAAAAGAGCTGCTTTATCAATGGACTTAAATTCTTCCACAGTGTTTTTGTTTATTATTGTTCCTTTTACACTTGTGTACAGATGTTCTGTCTCTGGAACTCTGAGGTAAAATTATATTTCTATTTACAGCACACTAACATAAATAAAAAAAATATTTATTTATGTAATTCTTACTTGTTAAATGATGTGCCATCGACTTCAAATACCGCTCCAATATCATCCCGATAAGTAAAACGACCGTAAATTGGTTTCGAAGTTTCGTTTAATTTATCGATGTTAAGTTTAATTTCGGTAAGAGTGTGCCAAAACGATGGGTGCACGAATGAGATAAAAGGTACATATTGAATTATTTCTTCTCGATTGTCTGCGTCAGACATTATGTTGAACTCTCAGCAATATTGCTACGGCAAAGCCGACAGTTTAAGAGATTAAAATGTACACGGAAATCTTGATTAAGTTGCGACAGTAATTTTGCAAAACAAACCGCCTACATAGTAGTACGTAGTCCCAAACACAAACAAAAAAAGGCAAAATTGATTTTCTATTATAAGTTATCCTTAGCTTTAGCCATGTAATTTCAAAAACATTCATCAGTCAGTTTTGTATAGCTTGCTAAATTATACTAATCTGTGGTTTTGTACACAGAGTATATTGAATAAGATGAGATTTGATTTTGTACATGTACATTGGTTTTGTACCTTGATTTATTTATTTTATTGTCATTTTCATTTTGCTAGACAATAGACCATAGACTTAATCGAATTTCAAATAGGCTACTTATGATGTGAAACATATAATCCGGAAGGAAAGGCCGGTTGTTGGGATAGCGACGCCGGACGCGCCGCCACGCCATGTGATAGGATATGTAACATCATAACATGTAATGCGGTCGGCTACATTTTTAACAGCGTTATGTTTATTTTATTCCTGTAAGCTATCCTTTTATACTCATTATTTTATTTTTTACAAAATAATTTCGATGTTTCATTTTAGCCAGATGTCCCGAGATGCCGACGCCACGGCTCAATATTTTTTTTCTGGAAAAATTATAGACAAAATGGACTTTAAGGCAAGCGAAGAAAAGTAGTTATATAGTAGTCTCACTTATAACATAAAACTAAAGATACCTATAAAACAAAACCAAATACCGCCGAAGCTAAAGAGATAGCACAGATAGCCATAAGCAGTGTATTATTTTTTACATATCCTGTGGCACTTTTCATTTTTAAATGAATAAAATGTGTCAACTGACGTTAGGAAAACTTGAACGAAATAGGACATTTACCTAAAAACATTTTCTAAGTCAAAAGAAATAATGCCATACACTTAAATTAGGTCTACGTAATTTGAATATTTGGCATCAATCAGTCTATTGTTGGATCACAGTTCGTAGATTCCTGATAAAGGCCCACGTAGACCCATCTGAAAACACCTATGTTGGCAACGCTTTTTTTCCTTCTATCGGCCTAAATTACCTATATAAATTATATTGATGTTTGTTTGGGTCGCTTAGAGACTAGAGACACGAATAAAAACAACTTAGTAAGTACTGTCAAACGAATTTACCAAATAACAATATATATAACAACCTTTTGTTTTTTTTTTTTACAATATAACATTGTCATAATACGACGTACTCTATTTTGGCGTCGAATATAATTGAGAAAATACTGCGTACCAACAAGATTTATATTTATTTTAAACGTGTGTTTGCATATACGTTCGTGGATATCAACGTGTATAATCTCCTTTCTATGGAGAGGCCTATGTCCAGCAGTGGACGGCGAAAGGCTGTGGATGATAATGATAACGATGCAAAAGTGTTTTCAAATAGAAAAAACGGTTTGTTCGCAGGATTCCAACTTTCTCAGGAGTGCCAAATTTTATAACATCCATACAAGTGTTCGCATGAGTCCAACTTTTAGTTTTATGAACCGTTATTAGCACTATTCTAACTGTTTTACGCAACTGTTTAACAGTTTTACGCATATAATAATGTTCAATAGAAGTTGATATAAACTTATTGTAGTTTTTATAGATAAAAATAAAAATGGAATGTATGAGTTTTATCTATACTAATATTATAAAGCTGAAGAGTTTGTTTGTTTGTTTGTTTGTTTGAACGCGCTAATCTCAGGAACTACTGGTCCGATTTGAAAAATTCTTTCAGTGTTAGTTAGCCCATTTATCGAGGAAGGCTATAGGCTATATATCATCACGCTAAGACCAATAGGAGCGGAGCACTAATGAAGAATGTTTCAAAAAACGGAGAAAATTTAATACTATTGAGAGACGCAGACGAAGTTGCGCGAGTCAGCTAGTGAAAAATAAATATGAAGTTATTGGTGTCATGTATGTAAAAAACGTTTTCTCATTATCAATACTTAATGAATAAATTTGTGTTTATTAATACTGAGAGAGGTCGGAGAATACTTTTTTTTATTGAAAGGTAACAGTTTTTGTTATTCAAAAACCAACAAACGTGGTTCAACTATTTGGATTGAGCTTCCAGAGCAACAATAACAACAATCTATGAAAAGGAAGATACTGTTTGGCGTGAGATTTTACACCTATGTAAACCTGATGAGAAGAGCAACTTGTCGAGCAAGCACTCGCAGAATGTAAATTAAAAGTCCAAGTACAAAGTCATTGGGGCCCTGTCCCGCAAATTTATGAAAACGCTATGAAAATAATTAGTTCGGACTAAAGTTACGCAGATATTAAGTTTGATAGTGTAAGACACATTATATTGTTCTAGAAGAAAGGCCCTAGATGTTTAAAGAACCACTTTTAATTATACAAAGGATATTGTTATTCCTGACATGTTGAAGGATTTTCTGATAATAGAAGACTGTGATCCTTAAATTCTAGTGTTTGCAAATTATTTGGTGTTCGAGAGTGCAAAACATTAAGCATTTTGCAGATGGGACTTTTTCTCACGTGCCGCGTTCCCTTTTACCAACTCTATGCGATACACGGAGACGTTGGCAGTACAGACTGACGATAAGACGTTGATCGTACCTTTTTTATTTTCGCTTTATTGCCTGAACTGACATCAAGTATAATCGTATATACATACGTCGTCCAATAGCGTTTGCACATTTGCCCGCAAATCACATGCCTGAAGGTTATTTAGCAGTTACGAAAATGTCGATGAACAAAGGAATGATAAAATGGCAACATTTAATAATTATTTCTGTAAATAGTGGCTGAACCTGAAAATTATCGAAAACTAACTTTAACTGTACTGTTGTCTTGGTCATAAATTCATAATAAAATTAAAATCCTTGTGTAACTTTAATCTTGTTTATTTCAATTGTACTGTAGGAATAGTGCTAATAAAAATACATAAAAAATAAAAGTTGGACGCATGCGAAGACTTGTATGGATGTTATAAAGGTTGAACTCCTAAGAAAGTTCGTGAGATAAACTAAACTGGTCTCCCCTCCATGCTCTCTCATCGCCCTTTCACTTAATTTACAATGAACAATATTTCTAATGGCTATTACTGACAATGGGATGTGCTATACGTACTAAGTACAGTAAGTACATTGATTCTGATGTTCCGAGTCCAAAAATAACAACATCATTTAAAAAAAAGTAATGTATTCCAAAAAGTCATTAGTGGCGAATTTCAAAAGGAAAATCATTTTACTTTAAAGCGATTGAAATTTAAAAAATAACTTTAAAATGCGTTTACTATACATAGCCGAATTTTTTTTTTTTTTTTAACACCAAACTGCTACTTACGAATTACACCGAAGACTATCTATGTATTCTCTGTTTTGAAAGAATGTAGAGGTAAATACCTTTTGTGGTTTTTATCATTTCTAACTATCTTGTTCATAGAATTAATATAGGTACAAGGGTAAACTAAGCTACTCTCGTTCCACCTCTGTATAATACAGCCTTAAGAAATGCAGTAGATTTGCGACCGTTAGTTTATCTAAGAATAGATTAGTTGGCATTCTCGAGGTGCACAGCAACAAATATAGTGTCATGTGAGTTTCAATACAGCCTACTTTTAAAGGAAAATAAAGTAATCAAATTATATAATTATATAAATGCACGTAGAACACAATTATAAAAAACTTTTAAATTATCGTTAGGCACATTTTTTTAAAATTATTTATAGGCAGATTTCATTTTTTTGTGGACTGTTTCAGTAGCCCTAACCCAACATAACGTGCCATTACACGTAAATACGAAGGATTGAGTTTCTTCCGCTTCTCTAACAGAGACTTCAAAAGTCTTTCTGATGATTCATCAAAGGGCTTTTGATAATCAGATGCCTGGCAAAAAAAGACAAATTTATTTATGTACTATGTTATAAAACAACCTAAGAATTTGGTACTATGACAAGGTTTTAGAAAATAAAATAAAAGTAAAGTCTTACAGTAGTTTTAGCAATCCAGTACAATTCTTCTAAAAGGTGATCATGATTCTCTACAGACTCCGGCAAATACGAAATTCCTTCATACTGTGTTAAAAAAAATCATATTAGTAAACTAGTGCAGTGCTTAAAAACTCGGTGGTATGAAATAACAGTAAGGCATCGTCATCAAAAGCCTTAAATAGTCCACTGCTGGACATAGGCCTCTCCTTAGAAAGGAGGTTTTGGCCTACTATGCCACGCTGGCAGGACGGGTTGGTATAGGGTTTGCGTCAAGTTTTCCTTCTCTTTGCAGTTGTTGTTGACCTGCGTAGTTCGCTCTCTTAATCGGATCTTACGGCACCCACGGGATGAATAGAGATGGTGACACTCCGACCACACAGAAAATAAATTTTAGAAAATATTTTTTAGCTGCAAAGCAGTAAGGCATCGTCATCAGCTTTTCATTTAATGCCTCATTGCTTTTGAAAAGCTCGAGACAAAAACAATAAGCAAGTTTATCCTATACTAGCTGACCCGCGCAACTTCGTCTGCGTCTCTCAATAGTAATAAATTTTCTCCGTTTTTGAAACATTCTTCATTTGTGCTCCGCTCCTATTGGTCTTAGCGTGATGATATATAGCCTATAGCCTTCCTCGATAAATGGGCTATCAAACACTGAAAGAATTTTTCAAATCGGACCAGTAGTTCCTGAGATATAATACAACGTGTTGTACTCGTAGTGTAGAAAATGATTTCGAAGTGGTAAAAATAAACAATGAGCATCCAGGATATGATCATTGATATGATGGTCATTGTAGTCTGAATAAAAAATGAAGTAGGTAGAACATATAAGTAACTCTATGTGATGAGTACAGGTCAGGACCATACATACAATTTTTTGTTTTTATGTATTAATAATATCTAACATATATGCGAACTGAATTGCTATTTATTTAAAAAATAATATTTTATAGTGGATATTTCTTTACCTCTCTAAATTTATTAAAATTTTCTCTTTCTATGACTTCAATTTCCATGTCCAATTCTGTAGCTCGAGTGATTCTATTTACTGCAATAGCCTGAAGTAAAATTGGTCTGAAGCGTACTAAATTTGGTGTATCTTTCTTATTCATTAGCAAGAGTAACAGAAGTGCCTGTTTTGGGTTTATATCTGTCATCCAGTTCTTCATCTGCAGGTGTGTTGAAGTTTGTAACTAATATAATAACTATGTATACAGGTGTAATATCATAAAATTTAAATTAAGCGGGCAATAAATTGATGCCATTAAGCCAATTAGATATGTGTTGAAAAAAACATGTATAATAATAATAACTTCACACATCACACACACATATCATAACCATTGTATAACAAAACTTTTTAACCACATTTTTTTTTAAATTACTTCAAAAAAATAATATACTGCTTACCTCGACAACAGACGATAATATTTTCTTTTCAGCATTGCCGTCAAATACGCTAGCCAGTATCTTTTTTGAACCAAGTACTTGGAAAAAATCGTCCAGATTCTGAATTTTGTGTAGTGGTGTGCTAACATATTTTTCAGTTGGAATTATAGTTGCTGACTTACATTTTCTATACAATCTATAAAATCCTTTGCGTTTGTTTTTAATATTAACTTTTAACTCCGTTACAGATTTTAGATCTTTAATTTTAGAACCATATTTTGTGGACGGTTTGATATACTCCAAGCGTTTTTCAGAAGTATCATTTTGAACTAACACATATTTCTTATCTTGAGAAAAAAGGTTATTCATATTTAAGTTATTTGTAATTACACTCACATTTGAATTTGATCCGTTATTATTTAGTGATGTAATATTCAAGTATCTAATTTTGCTAAAGGATAGAGCTTTCGGTATATATGTACTAACGTTTAATCTGGAAACTTGTATTTTAATTAAAATTTCTGTAATAGCATCTTCAAATTTAAAAGGTTTGAAAGCTGGAACTAGCCTTTTATTATTCGTCGTGTAGAGATCTAAAGCAGTGCAAGTAGGACACTGCTTTTGTAACCCAACGGGTAATTCTCTTTTCGATTGATTTTCAATATTTACTTCTTTGAAAAGTGGTAGTCTAATTCCGTATGTTAGTATATCTATTATGGTGTAACTTTTCGGTAACGTTTCTCTTAGCAAAGCAGGATTGTATTTAACAACGGGGTTGAGTTTTTTTGTACCTTTGGTGATTCCGTTTCTGCTTGAGAACATGCCACTTATATAGGGTTTTACGGCATGTGCTAAATGGTGTAATGGGGAAACGGTAATTTGAAGAGGCTTTGTGGTAATAATAGGGACGGTATTGCTTTCACAACAAGGACGTGTCGACAATTCACTGATCGGCGATAAATGCGACTGGTTTTTATTGATTAAAGCTGGACCGAATGCTGGACGTACAGATTTTACGTCAGAATCAATAAGCTTCATCAATTTAGGCAAAATGCTGCACAATTCTGCAGGTAACATAGCATTCACGATGGTCGTCTTACATTTAAATATTCTTGTATGACTCTCGGTTACATCGACAGGCATTATAGGTAGTGCCTTAGAGTTCACCGCAGTACTAATGTTATCTGTTACATCAAATTGCACCATAATATTTGTCACACAATGTTTCACAGCTATTTGATTCATATTTAGAGTTTTGATTTCCAATCCTGGCAGGGAAGAATCGAATCCCGGTATCGATTTATAGGTTGGTTTTTTCATAACTGTTACTTTAGGTGAAATGTCTATGTGATCAAGGTCTTCATGGTCTGTTTGCATAGCCATATCTGTGGCACCTGAAGGCATAACATTGAATAAGAACCTACATAAAATATGAAAAATCTAAACATAAAATATTTGTTTAAGACCACTTACGGTTAGAGTCTGAATTTGGATTTACATATTTTAGGTCTTTACTGTAATAAACCCCAGTTCTAATTTTCCTAATCACACTTTCTATGAAATCATTCACTCTCTTCGCTTTGGCCCAGGGGTATTCAAAACCAGTTTGATGTGTTTTCGTTTGTAGGAACTTAACTCGGGATTTACGCTCCCTGGTGACACATTGGCCTTCATAATATTTATGTGGCATAGTTTTTTTTATTTCAGTTTCAGTATAAGCGTCGAATTTTCTCACAGATTTACTGATAATCTGTTGCTCAAGTTGCTCTACAGGCTTATTATTAATAAGTAGCTTTATGTTATTGCAGTTTTCAGTAACGACATTCCCAGTTTTTTTTTGAAACAAAAAATTCAACATTTTATCCTTTAACAGTGTGATTGATTCTTGGTTCTTATTCTGTTGTCGTTTAGTATTTGTTTCTGTACACGGCGGTATTTTTTTTGTTTCATTTTTATATTTTGTAAGAACACCGTTATTGGAATATTTGGGCTTATTATTCATAACAATTTCATTATTTCCCATCGTTGCTTTGTTTGGATGACAAATATCACTTTTCCTGTTTTTTTGGCCAACATAATCCGATACTTCAACTTCTTTAGCCATTATACCTTTATTTTCATTTTGGTCTTTATGATGCCAGTTCACCATATACGGCCATATGTGTTCGTCTAGGCCGTTAAATTGAGGAGGATCGTAATCATTTACTTCTACAGAGGAACTAATCTGCTCTCTGCCTAAAATAACAACTGGGAATCGTAAAGCAGCTATTCTCTTCTTAATATCAGTATGTGTTAACTTCGGCATCATACACGCACTTGGCATTGTGGTGACTAAACGAGGTTTCCTTTGTTGTAAATCAGATCGTATATTTGACACTTGACTTAATGATTCGCATGTCTTACCAAAATTTACTCTTGATATCTCTTTCACTTGAGGTGCACGATTACATATAATTTTCCCTGAAAATATATTGTTAATGACAACGAATTACGTACGAAGTAATATTTTCATGATAATTATTTTTGTGTTTAAACCATATATGTATAAATAAAAACAAATAGTTAAATAATAAATATACCTACAGCTAAACTGCGTAAAACTGGAAATCGTCTGGACCGATTTGATAAACAAATAAAAAGTTTGTTTATTAGGGATAATCCGAATACACGGATGGCGTAGTGGTTTAAACGTTCGCCACGCCGCTTCCTACTGCGCTGAAAGTTATGGGTCCGATCCCACATGGGACAACACTTCGTGTGATCCACAAATTGTTGTTCTGAGACTAGATATTCTTTGTGGCCGTTTCATGTATGTTTGTAAATTCCCCCGCGGGCTTTTAATTGTATTTTGACAAAGTCTATCGGACCCATTGATATACATATATCAATGATCGGACCCGAATATATATATTTCATAATCCTTTCTACAGCTAAGAAACTTAAAACCTACCTATATCGTAGCTCACTAGGCAGAGCGAACCAAACAGAGCGATATAAAATTCGGAATAGGAAAACTTTTATTTACCTTTCATTTTACTTATGTCGGATATTGAGAGTTCTGCCTTACTTGATCCGGAATTATCTGAGATAACAAAGCTTTCTTTAGCTGGAACTAGACTACATTCTACTGTGGATTGGTTTCGATTATCTATATTCGTCAGAGATGAATTCACATCATCCTCAATACTACTGCTGGTGTTCTTATCGTATTCTTGATCGTTTTCAGATACCAAGATTAAAGCATTAGGTATTTTTGGCACACATTCTAAATTATTTGCATTTGGTACAGCAGGACACAAGGATTTTTTTTTAGTAAATCTCTTTTTCAATTTATTCTTGATGTTAAGACGATTTTTACTGACATCTTTTGAAGTGCGTGTTTCAAGAAATGTGTCTTCAAAATGTTGACACATGTTGCTAAATTGGTCTTGTTTGTCAATAACAGTTACTCTGTCAAAACTGGAAGACTGTGACATGCTTTGTGAATTGTTATCAACCTTGTAACTTGATATGTAGGCGAATTCTTTAGTCTCGAAAACACTAAAACATTTTACTAGATTTAGAACATAAACGCACTGTTAGTTTTACTATTCATTAATATTGATGTAATTACAAACTTACAAGTTCGAAAAGTCTCTACTCACTAAATCTGTGTGTAAGTGAGTATAGTGTTGTGTGAGAGAGTTATGTATCTATGTATACCGTCAACTCCCGTTTCAAGGTCATGCTTGTTAGCATTAACCAAAAAACTATGTGTGCGTTACCCCAGCAAAATAATGTTGAAAATGGTCATTTAAACTTTATAGATAATTAGTTGCTCCCCTTCTGTAATTGTTAAGCACATTTTTAAATTTGTTTCACTTAAACTTCTTTAGTTATTTCAAAAAAACATTTCCTGCTGGAGTAACGTTTGAAACGTTACCGCAGCCAGATATTTTCTTTTTTAATTGTAATATTGAAATAAATTTTAGCTAAATAATTAGTTATCTGGACTAGGTAAATGTTACAACTTATTTGGTATTTGTATTTTCTTCGGCTGCGAAGTTATTCGAAATCCTGCTGGAGTAACGTTTGTGGGTTTGCTGGATCTCTGAAACGGGTAAGCGGATTGTAACCATCTTTTGTACATAACTTCTTAAGCATTAGTTTTAATTTGTTCGACAATAAAATAACAAAAATAATGGACCGTTTAAAAATTATTTAGGTAAGTATGAAAACACTTAAATACGTCCTAACACTTTAAATAAGACCTCTAAAGACTTACTTGAAACGTTATTCTATTGCTTGTAACTACCTTCAAATGTATACGAATTTTCGTAAGAATACTGTAAGTGACTAAAAAGTTATGATGAAATGTAGCTCTCCACGTTCACGATCACAATGTGTGCGGCTTTTTTTGGCCACCGATAAACCTGTGTGTGGATATATAAACTGAATGTTATGCCAATAATTAGTTATTTAGTTCAGTTGTCTACCTGTAGAATTTCAGCGTCGTACATATGATAATGTACGAGATAATTAAATAAAAGTCATTAGAAGGTGCAAGTCCGTGGTAATCCGACCATGTTTAGGTGGCTACAAAAAAGCGATCACCCAGTACATTGCGCTGTCTTTTAAAATGTTTAGTGTAATACACCTTACGATTTCGGTACAGTTGCGTACAGTGTTAAATACATTCAATATTTATTCATTATTATTTCCTATTATTTATTTTGTTTTTTTCCCTAATTGAGCTTAAGCACTAGTTTCTTTACTTAAAATTTATTTAGTCTTACTTTACTACCGGAGCTACAATCAACAGAAAATCTGCACTGGTCCGCTAAAATTATAAATATGTAGATACATGTATGAACGATTCACCTGACTGCAATAAAACGAAAATTTAAACCAATAAGAAATCGTTTCATTTCTTTGATTTTTTTTTGTAAAGAAATAACACTAAAGTAATTGTATTTTATTTTGGGGTGTATAGAGCTTAGACTTGAATGCATCAAAATATTTAAAGCAACAAGTCATCTACAATAAGTTAAAATAGACCGAATAGTAGAAGAATACAGTTGTAAATTAGAATGCATCAACATTGCATCGCCCAACAGTCGTATACCTCGTAAGAGTAGGTAATATTGTTCTGTGGTCTATACCTAGAACTGAGAATTATCTATACCTATGTACCGTACGTTGAGCGTTGAGCCCGTGACTGTTGATTTCTGTTAAAAACGAACAGTTGTTGAATGATATTTTGATATAATAACGGTAATTTAATTTATCGAGTGAAAGTGATACATTTTTATAGATAAAATTATTGGTCAGATAATATTTGTCAATCAAGAATCGCTGATAATACATCCTTCGCTAGAACGCGGGAGGGGAGGGGCGAAGGGATACTTCATTGTTTGCAATTTGCATCTAGTGCACTAAACTTGACCCTTAGGCAGATAATATACGTGTTGTAAAGTACGTGTGCGCTTCTGCTTTCTATTTTTGTAAATATTTATCGTATTCTTGAGAGTTCTTCAATATGTGTGTACCTAATTACTAATAATTGGCATTAATGCTAATTCGATTCAATTTAAGTAATTGTAAATTCTTGTCTTAGGATATTAATTACTAATGCTAATATTGAAATTTCGTTCAGGGTGAACAAATTAAAAACGATCATAACTTTTAGGTAGGTATATCACTTATTACTAATTTTACATAAATAATTTATTTTATTATAATTTAACTCACCGCGATTTTGTGATCAAATATTTTATTTTCTCCAACATTATTACAGAAATAATGCAATACAGAGTTTGTTCGCGATATGCTAGCCTAAGTCGATTCATCACTTAAAAAAATCCCCATCTATTCACAAAATACCTATTTACAACGCATACGTTACACTCTTCAAAACTTATCATTTCATTTCATATTTCTTAAATTACCTATACCTACCCTAAAATTAAACTTCAATTAACAAATACTACGCAGGTACCAATTCTATGAACAACTATAAACAATTCACCTAAACATTACGAGAAAACAAAAGCATTCAAAACAATACCTAATCTCCAGGCTGATAACTAAGTAATTATGCAATAAACAATCCTAAATAAAAAATATTTAAAAAACATGTAGTTTTTTGTAACACTTATGTACATATCCGTAGTAAACTTGCAAATAATATCCTACATATTTTAAAAGCCAGCACAATGTACTGGGTGATCGCTTTTTTGTAGCCACCTAAACATGGTCGGGTTACCACGGTCTTGCACCTTCTAATGACTTTTATTTAATTATCTCGTAAATTATTATATGTACTACGCTGAAATTTTACAGGTAGACAACTGAACTAAACAACTAATTATTGGCATAACATTCAGTTTATATATCCACACACAGGTTTATCGGTGGCCAAAAAAGGCCGCACACATTGTGATCGTGAACGTGGAGAGCTACATTTCATCATAACTTTTTAGTCACTTACAGTATTCTTACGAAAATTCGTATACATTTGAAGGTAATTACAAGCAATAGAATAACGTTTCAAGTAAGTCTTTAGAGGTCTTATTTAAAGTGTTAGGACGTATTGAAGTGTTTTCATACTTACCTAAATAATTTTTAAACGGTCCATTATTTTTGTTATTTTATTGTCGAACAAATTAAAACTAATCCTTAAGAAGTTATGTACAAAAGATGGTTACAATCCGCTTACCCGTTTCAGAGATCCAGCAAACCCACAAACGTTACTCCAGCAGGATTTCGAATAACTTCGCAGCCGAAGAAAATACAATTACCAAATAAGTTGTAACATTTACCTAGTCCAGATAACTAATTATTTAGCTAAAATTTATTTCAATATTACAATTAAAAAAGAAAATATCTGGCTGCGGTAACGTTTCAAACGTTACTCCAGCAGGAAATGTTTTTTTGAAATAACTAAAGAAGTTTAAGTGAAACAAATTTAAAAATGTGCTTAACAATTACAGAAGGGGAGCAACTAATTATCTATCAAGTTTAAATGACCATTTTCGACATTATTTTGCTGGGGTAACGCACACAAAAACTACTCAAGTCCGTATCCGTATTCAAGGATCTAGACACGAATATTCCTTAATCGTATCTACAGATGCGATTGCGAAGTAATGATGAGATGAAAAGAGGTAAGTAGTTAAGTAGTAAGATGGTAAGTAAATAGGTTATCTTGCTATGTTCATTTCATGCGGAGGGATGAGGAAAATATGGCGAAGAAAGTGTTAGGTATGGAAGTTGACGGTTACAAGAGAGCAGGAAGACGAAAGAAAAGGTGGATGGACTGTGTGAGGCAGATGATGTATCCGAGGATATAGATTTTTAACGATCCGGCACATCGGCACCGACTTAGGGATGATAAATATTCTAACATTATAGGCTGATTAAGTTACCGTGTGTCTTTATTGATACGCTTGTTTTGAGCTTTCTTCTTTTTGGTGCCTATGATACTCTCTTCAGACATAGGCGGTGAGGGACGAAACGGAAATCTGTTCAAATTTCTTAGCACCGCCCATACATCATGAGGTTTCATGTCAATATCTTTCGGTAAACATAAAGCTTTCGATCGTTTTTGCATCACGATATTAGAACTCCTTCTACAATCACCTTTAAAATTTTTCATCATCTCCGTGGAACTACTGTCTAAATTAACATCGAATTGTGAACAAAACCGTTCGTCTCCGTCGTAGAATCCGAATTCTTTGTTTTTAACTCGAGACTTTCGAACATTTTTGATTCCTGAACGCTTTTTAATTCTTGGTTTATTATTGTTACCATTACTTTGACTACAATATTCCGAATCGTTCATATCGCTCACTGTACATATTTGGGGTGAGGGAGTGGGTTGATTAGGAAGAGTTAATACAGACTTTTTTATTTTTCTGTTACCTCGTTTTAATTTAAATTCATCTGAATTGGCTTTATAAATATTAGCAGCAAGCGGAAACGACGAAACATAATCCAAAGTTTTCTTTTTAACAGATCTTTTCTCACTCACTCGCGAGAGTAGTTGCACTTTATTCTCGTTATTAAGATAAGGAGATCTAGTTTCATATTTCTTAAATTTTTTTTTTTCACAAGTTATATCATACGATGTTATAGCCATATTCCAATTGCTATAAACAAATAGTTAAGTATTAACACTAATGAGCTGAAACAAATAAAATAATTTAGTGTAATAAGGACCAATTTGGAGATTTAAAAAAAGCCTTTATTTTAGTTTGATGGTGTGCCAGATTGAGCTCCTCCCGGAGTTATACCCGATCTTGGAAAGAAAACATCTGGAATTTCCGTGAGATCTTTACCCACTATTTAATCTGTAAGCAGTAACACTATGGAGTTGAACTTCGACAGTTTAATGAATTGTAATTTTAAGAATCGGGTCTAGACAAATTAAAACAGCATACACCGTAAATTAGTACTTTAAGGGCTTACTTTGTACTATCTTAAGATACACAGAAACATGTTTGTCTATATGGGACACAGACACAGGATTCGAAGATCTTGGAAGTTTTACATTTCAATATCTGTACGTGCTACGTTACTTGAGTAAGTTTATTTAAAGCTAAACTATCTTTACAAACGTAGCTAAAATAGTACGTTTTAATTAGTTATTTAGAGGGTAATTTATTTTGCGAATAAAATATTGGCAAACTCTTTCACAGAGTTTTTTCACTTGGTACCTATTAGGTACGATTTCACTGTTATTATACAATTAGGTACTTGGTGAGGAATAGCGGCGAGGGCTGTGCAGTAGTGTAGGTACTGCTTTTTCTTTTAGAGCAATGCCATCTAAAATCAAATTGTGGCTAATTTGCGTAATTTAAATTAATAGGTAAATAGCACAATAATTACCCGAAGGCATTTAAAATTTTCGAGGAAGCTATTTATTTAGCTTCCTTGGAGATTCCAGGTATCTTCGCTTCAGGGTCTTTAAAAATAGGTGCCAAAAAATTAACAGTTGTCTCTTACCTCTACTGTAATATCCACCAACATTTTTGTTATAACTGTAGAACAAAAGAAATTAGCACAGGTCTTCTAACAATAATTTTAATTGGAATGGGCAAAGAAAACGATTTTTCATAGGGAACTATATATTGTAAATAATAAATTTACAGTGAAATCGATCTGAATATTAAATAAAATAAACCTTTGACAACCATACTATTGACATGCAATTTCGAATACGACTGTTCCGGGTGTGATAAACTCGATGGCCCAAAATGTTTTCGCTGCCAGTTACAATCCTACTAGTTTTAACTAAAATAAGTACCTACATAGTTATATAAAATAACTTCATTCTTTGGTGTTCTGTAGCCGTAACAAGGAATAAAAGGAATCCTTTATACCTACTTATGTTATGAAAGTTTCACCATGTACTTCCGCTTCTTAGCGTAAATAATTTAAGGACGAGAAACCTTTCATTTTGCATGAGTCACGTCACATATTGTCTCGAAACATCGCGAAAGTTCGATTAACCGCGCAATTCGGGAATCGTTTAATAATAGTTAGCACGTAATAATAAGTTTTATACCATTACATATAAGAACGAAAATAGATTGTCGCGCGATTATCTTGTTTACAATAGAAACGAATTTCTCAGAAGCGGACAGTTCTCGTAGGGATTGGAAATTGCTGGAATGGAAATTCCTTTACGAGTATTAGAAATACGAACAAGTCTTCGTTGGGTTCGGGCTACAGTACGAACCCACCGGTGGGGTGATTATGTCGGACTCCAACTGACCAAAAACCGCACGCCGTCTCCGGTACCAGTAGCCGGGGAATCAGATGTACCCTAGAAAGGAAATCCCTGGTACCCCGACGTAGTACTCAGACATAGGCTCCTTGCGGATCAGACACAGGTGTTCTCCGAAACAACCTTTCCCGGTGATCACCTGCGTCAGCCGGTATGAGAAGGTTCCGGAATGCCTCACGAGTCAATCCTCGGTTGCCCAAGTCGTTCCTTCCACTCCTATATGAGGACCTGGCGGAGTTGGGATTTCTGATCCTCGATTTCTCGAGTTTCAGGACTCCGACCCAACTTCCGCGCCTCCGATACAAAGCCAAAAGGGCTTTCGCCTCTAGGTCTCAAAGGTGATCGTGCGGTACCCCCTTATGACCCTGATGGCCAGCACTCGCTGCGGTCGTCGCAGTACTGCGACGTTGCTGGCCCTCAGGGCTCCCGCCAATACTGGGGCCCATAAAGGGCCATGAACCGCACAACCCCCGACTAGAGTCCTCGGGTCCCCTCATGTTAGGCAACAGCCGCGCCAGTGCACGCGTTGCTCCAACCAACTTGGGGACCAGACCTCGGAAATGATGTCCGAAGTCCCATCGACCATAGAGTACGAGCCCCAGATACCTCATCGAGGGCTCGACGCCGATGCGAGTGCCTATATACTATAAGGCTGGATCCCTCAGGTGGCTTCCTCCGAGGCCCATGAAGGAATAAGGCCTCGGATTTAGGCAGAGTCACCTCGAGACTCAGACGCCGGATCCGCTCTACGACTTGGGCAATCCCGGCCGTGGCCCTCAAGGTTGCCTCTCGGTGCGTCTTGCCGCACGCCGACACTAGCGTGTCATCCGCATAACACGTGACGGCGACACCATCTAGGAAAGCACCACCAAGCACCCAGTCGTAGCCGGTGTTCCACAGGAGCGGCCTTAACACCGACCCCTGCGGAACACCGCACGACATTTCACGCTCACCGAGACCAGTCTTACTTGGGTAGACGACTCTCTCCGACAAAAATGCCCCGACTATGCGGCGGAGGTAGAGAGGCACTTCATCACACACATCATCATCATTCACACAGGGCAAAGTCGAAGAACACGCCAACACCACTTCGCCCTTGGAAACTGCTTCCTCCGCCAGAGATCTCACACGCATGATCGCATTCACGGTGGAGCGCCCCTGACGGAAACCGTACTGATTGCCCGCCAGATCCAACCCCACACTGAAGAGGTGCTTGACGCGGCGCCGTGCAATAACTCTTTCCAAAAGTTTGCACACCACGTCAAGCAACACTAAAGGACCAGTTTCCAAAATTCCGGAAACTGGCCCCGCTCGAGGCATGCGCTAGAGTCCTCTCAGTCGGGGCTCGAGCAACTAAAATTATTATGACTTAGGTAGGTAATACCTACGCTTGGTCGGACGGACCAACTAAAACTGAACCCGCTAAGTATATCACATATATAAAAAAACTTTAGTTTATAGGTACTCCGTTATATGACGGAGTACCTATAAAGTACCTTAGTTTATAACTAAAGTTTTTTTATATTTTTGTTTTTTCATGAATTTACCTACATCGGTAAATTCATGAAAATGTAGTTATAATTTAGCAAAACAGTCATCAACAACCGTTTTTCGTTTTAAACGGATTATTTTTAAACCGGCCTTACATCTACATATAGGTGAGAGGTAACAGTTTGCTTTATTGAGGGGTACAACTTGATACTTTTGAAAATCTTTTCACAGATTGAAGATTAGTTGACTTACAAATAATGCAATAAAAGAAATTTTAGGTTTTAGATTTTTTTATTTTGTGTAAAGTAAATCACTTCTGTGGCGCGCTCTGGCTGGAGCTCTTGGAGTCGCGCATAGAAGCCGAACGCTTACGTTTCAACTCTTCTTGGCGTCGTACCTGCACAAGAAATATTTGAATGTAAAATTTAATTAAAATGTAAACGAGAACATTCAAATATATAAATCCTTATTAAAATATTAATGTTGCTGATTTAATACCTCAATTTATATCAAGAAAAAATAGAGGGGTAAGACACAGCACCTTACTCTAACAGTTGAATATGATTTCCATAAATAAGATTATGGATATATGATATCCACTGTATATTAATAATAATTTTAGTATCCCTAAAAATAAAATAAAATATATCAACAGTAATGATTCAACAATTATAATTGACGACCCTCTTAATATAGCGACAGCATTCAACAATTTTTTATTGACCAAGTAGAAAACCTTAATACTGACAGGGAAATTTCCCACCCAGCAAACATTTCGAAATCTTTATTTATGACTCCTACATGGCCATTGGAAATACATACCATAATATCAGGGCAAAAAATACTAACAGCTCTACCCACAGATTAAATCAAGTCCCAACTGAAATATCTCACGTAGTCCACCATGTCATTAATCAGTGTATTTGTAATGGCGTATTTCCCGAGCAATTAAAAATAGCTGTAATTAAGCCGCTGTTTAAGAAGAATAATCCACATTCTACGTATTGCTATCAACCTATTGCTCTGATACCAACCATTTCTCAATTTTTAGAAAAAGTTATTATGACAGACTGTAACCTTTTAGACAACCTTTGTAACTTTTTAGAAACTGGTTTTAGAAAGACCAAGTCTATTAATATGGCAATTTATATATATTTTTTAAATAGTCACAGATATAGTGTAGATAAAAAGTAAGTATGTGCACTTTATATGGATCTGTCTAAATCATTCGATTGCATGGACCAGAGGATTTTGCTAAATAAATTGAATTTGTGTGGCATAAGAGGCAATTTATTAAATCTAATCGCATCTTATCTGTCAAAAAGAAAACAGTGTACTCAGATAACACAACTGTGCCCAAAAGAAAGAAATGAAAGTTATTATATGTCTGATTATAGAGAAACTAAGTTTGGAATACTGCAAGGATTGGGACCGCTTTTATATAATATATATATATTAATGACCTGCCAAAGATTACGAAAGATCCCACTATGCTATTCGCAGATGACAGTACAATTTTATTTACATCTAAAGACAAGTCGCTCCTTGAGTCTGACGTATTCAATGCTCTCAATAACGTAATAAAATGGTTGACATTAAGTAACTTAAAAATCAATCTGAATAAAACACTTTTAATGAGATTTAGAAATAGAATTCTCCTAGTAACGGACATAAACCTATCTTATAAAGGCTTAAAGAAACTTCAAGAAGTAGAAATAACAAAATTTATAGGTATAAATATAGATAACAACCTGAATTGGAAGGTACCCATGGAATACCTCTGTGCAAAATTAAATACCCAGTTATACATGCTCATAAAAAAATTGAACCATAGGGCATTTTGATCTTGAGGTATGGTTTCATGGTTTGGGGTAATTGTACTGAAATAGAGCGAGTATTTATAGCTCAGAATAGGTGTGTCAGGGCAATGTGCAACCTCCAACAAATTGTCACCTTTTTTTTTTTTTTTTTTTTTCCGTGCGGAAATCCCCTTGGATACCACCTGTCGGTGGCATGTCGGACTCGAACCGACTAAAACCGCACGTCTTCGCCGGGTACTAATAGCCGGGGAACCAGGTATACCCTAGAAAGGAAGGCCCTGGTGCCCCGACATAACTCGGGTCATCTACAGACGAGTAGACGAACCCCCCCCCGTGTGGGAACCCCATGTTCCCTGTGCTCCCTGGAAGCGAGCGCGCTTCGCAACGCGCTCGCCGCTACCCCGGCCTGCTTCTGCTAGGGTGACAGATAGCCTCACCTGTCACCCCCAGGCCTGCGCTTATGGAGGACGGAGGTCGTTCTGCGACCTCCGGCGCCTGAGTCGCCTGCGATGCCTGGCCTGTGCCCGGGCCTGGCGGGCCGGGAGAGTTCTAAACCTCTCCCGGTCCCGCTCCGCCGTCTCCTTCGCGAGCATAACTTGCTCGCAGAAGGAGAGGGCAGAGTTCCACGCACTCTCGCTCCGCACGATAGCCGCAATCAGGCTATCGAGCGAGAGAACTCCCACTCCGATGGCCGCCACGAGGTCTCGCCTCTGCTCAAACCACGCCGGGCACTCTGCCAGCGTGTGGAGAGCCGTGTCCACGGTCTGGCCATCGCAGTGGTGGCACTCAGGCGTTGGCTCCTTGCGGATCAGACACAGGTGATCTCCGAAACATCCCTTCCCAGTGATCACCTGCCTCAATCGGTATGAGGGTCCCGTGACGCCTCTCGAGCCAATCCTCCATAACGGGTCTTACCGCCGCAATGACGGCGTGCCCAACAAATTGTCACCTGTAAACTGTATTTCAAGAGACTCAAAATACTAAACCGTAGCCTGCCTGTATGTCTGTGAGTTGTTATTATTTGTCAGATGTAACCTAAACATGTTTGATAAGTATTTTTATACTTATCAAACATGTTTAGGTTACATCACAATTAAAGCGTCACAATTACAAAATATGTTGTCCTCAGCATAAAATGCTTTGATGGATCGGAGTGTTTAGCATGGCGCCACGAGTCTATAACCATCTACATAAACGCTCAACAGAAATTACGTGTTTTATTAATTTTAAAAATATGGTTAAACAATTTCTGTTGCAAAAGTAAAACCCTTACTTAAGTAAAATTTTGAAAATTACCTTCGATTCCTTCTTTCTCTGTGCAAGCAATTTAGCATATTCAGCTTCAGAGGACTTGCGCTTAGCTAAACGTTTCTTCTTGAGTGCGAGACGATGACGTCTACGCTGTAGAACAACAGGTGTCACCAACCTCTGGATCTTAGGAGCCTTAAATACAATATAAATTAAATTGAATAAAACAGAAGATATAAACCGAAATTCTACTAGTTACAGTGATTTAGACAGATAAGATAGATACGTAATTCTATACTTTTTATAGTTGAAAAAGTATTAAACCTAACACTCGAGATATTCCTTATACCTTTTCATATCAAAATAAAAACCAGTAAGTCAGTGTCAAAATATTCATCCTCCAAGCCTTTTCTCAAACAAGGTTGGAGTCAGCTATCAGTCTGTTACGAAATGGCTGAACTTCCATTCAAACTTACTGGCCAAATCTTTTTTACTATTTGTTTAAGAAAATAGTCTCTTTAATGTTTAAATGTTCGGCACACTGTAAAAGGAGACAGACATACAATCTGAATCTTCTGCTCGGTGCTGATATTATATACCCTGATGCTGCTGTTTACTAGTCTTTAAAACTTGTAACCAATATGTAATCAGGGAAAATAAATATCAATTTCTCTCACACAACTTTTATGAAATGATTAACTGGTCACGATTTTCGAAAACAGCAAATTTTCATCAATCAATCATCAATTACATTAAACATTCAAAATTCAGACCTCAATGGCAGTCAGCTTTAGTTAATAAAATCAAAACTAAATTTGTACAATCTTTAATAGTGAATATGTTACCTTATATCTGGGTTTTGCATTCTCCTTGCCCTCTTTAGCAGGGAGAAGACGCTTAACTACATAGCGGCGTACATCATCTTCCTTGGATAAGTTAAATAGCTTGCGGATTTTGGAGGCACGCTTAGGACCTAGACGCCTGGGTACGTTGCCATCAGTCAGGCCAGGGATTTCCTGTAAACAATAAGAAGTACATTGAATCATTAGAAAACATATTAACATTATATCGAAAACTGTTTTTGTCAATTAGAAATGTTTGGTATTTTTAGGGCTGCAAATAAGAAATATTTAAAGCCCATGCCAAATACTATTTTATATGCCCTGTCGCATATAATTGCCAAGATTTGAAGATCTTGGAAACAGTAAGAACAGGGTTACACAAGAGCAAATTTATATAACTAATATATAACCAACTTTTCAGTACCTGAAAAGTAGATAGTTACATTCACTCTAGAACACTTTTACACTTAAACTAAATGCACACTCAAATATACAATGATAGGACAAGATTTTACTACAATTCAACATAAATATCAATACATATTGGTTTCCTTCCACTGTCAATTTCTTTTATTAAAAAGCTTAGACCATACACTTTAAAAAAAAGTGGATCTAACTGCCTGATCAGCAGCAACTGCTGATGCAAATTTGCATTTTTTTTTTAAAGATTTACTTTTAAAAGCCCAATTAAAATGTGCAAAAATATGCACACCAAAAGTGCCTACTAAGTCAGTGCATGAAAATGGTCCATGCACATGCAAATACAAACACTGCACAATGCATAACTGGAACCTACTACCCAATGATTTTGTGACTGCTACCTCAATTGGTTTTAAAAATAGACTTGACTATTAAACTGTGTAATTCAAGAACAAATTAGTATTGTGACTCGGAAGTTCAACACTGTGATATAGACACATCAACTATAAGCTAACCATCTTTAATTAAATAATAATATCTTTCAAGTAATAACTTTGCACCAACTATTAACTATCTACGTAATAGATGTTCACTCACTGCATTAGTCTATCTAAACATTGATTTCAAGGCTCTAGAATTGTTACAAAATTCATTTATTTCTCAAAAACTGATTAGTGCTATAAGCTCATTACATTGCGTTTAGGATTTTTTGCATTTAATGAAAATCTATAAGCTTATAATTTGTGAAAGATCTAACAGTGCACAGTGCAGTACAGTACACATGCAAATTCCCAGCTAAAAGGTAAGCATTGTTTAACTTATTTAAATATTATGCTTAAAATCAAATATTAAGAAAAAACAAAATCTGGCAAGCTATAAAGTCTCAGCAGACTTAAATTTAATTTACTACAATCATAGAACAAATATACTTAACCGCTTTCAACCTTGCCATGTTAAGGTTATACTGTACAGGTGTGTAACTAAGTTGTTTTAATTATGGTAGATGAATTTAAAATACACTGTTTACGGTGATGGTTTTTCTGTTAAACATAAGGCAACTTTTAAGTCACATACAAATAAACTAAAGTCCATGTATTTTATTGATATTTATTAAAATCATGATATACTTTTTTACTTGGCCATCTCTTGGAAGCGAGACGACATTTAGTACTGTCACAGTATGGAAAAAATATAATTTATACTCATAAAAATAATAATAATTCCAACAACCAAAAAATACAAAACTACTGATGACTGACTGATTTTAATAAATTACCTGTTCACCCTTGCGGACAATGACAAGAGCCAACACTGACAAGTTGGCGTCAACAATGCAGCCACGGACAGACTTGCGTTTTCTCTCACCATCACGGCGTGGTCTGTAGCAAGAGTGACCCTTGGACATCAACAAACGGACACGACCTAAAAGACAATCAAGATTAACTAAGTAAACACAAAATTATTAGGCACAGATGTAGTTTTCAACTTCTTTGCCCCAGTTTTTAATTGACAACAGCTTCACCATAAGAGCATGTGGTATCGTAATAAGTCATTTAAGGGATAAGAATAAGGGACTATGATCTTTGAATATTAATCTACTTACTGTTGGTTAGCACTCCCTGCTTCATAGGGAAGCCCTGCTTGTCATTACCACCGGCGACACGGAGGACATAGCCTTTCCATTCATCGCCTAGCTGATCTGCCTCAACTTCAGCGCCCATACGCTTCTCGTAGAAAATGCGGAGCTTATGCTCATCAACCACCTCGAATAACTTCTGACATCCCGTTGCCGGGAAGGAAACGTTCAGCTACAAAACAAAGTGAGGTTATAACCAATCATTTTACACATATATCAAAAACTGAACAAACGTAGTTATAATCACTGAATAAGGATTTTAGATAAAATGTTACTAGTATAACATAGCTACACCAAAAAAATGTTTAAGGCATGATAAGTTCACTTTCAACAACAAGGTTTTACAAATCGTAAATTTTCACGGAAATCAGAACATGCTTGTAGAAACAATTCAGTGGTGGAATAACTTGGTTTTGCTAGTATCACACGTTAGTAATATTTTGTAAAAATTATATATATTTAATTTAAATACATTATGAGAACCTTCATGACTACGGCTGGATTCCGCGAACGTCAGCCATGAAAAAGACCACAGAGAATCAAAGACGAACAGATTAGTGATTGTAGAAGGTAAACATAGAGTATGACTCTGTATTTTTTTTCAAGTTTTATGTTTGGAAGCAGAGGTTTCTGCACATTCTGCAGTTTTATTTTATTTTTTTAAAAATGAAAAAGATATGTACATTATTTCATTACAAGGAAAGAGTGGTTGATTTAACAGAAGAGAAGAACTATTTTAAATCATAGAGTGATTGCAGAATATCACAAAATAGTACAGTCTGAGAAATTTTAAGTCAAAAAAAAGTGGCTGATTTTTCAACGTGATAAGATGGGAAAAAATATTAGTTAAAAAAAAACTTTGTAGGAAGTTATTAAAAAATAATCAAACCGGTGCGAAAAAAATGGTTTAACAGCGAAAAACCATTTAATTGAAAAACAAAGCCGGGAAAACGAAAAGAAAATAAGTGTGAAGAGACTACATATCTTCCTACAACTTATCTATGGATGTTGTTACTATAGTTACATTTGACTGTTTAGAAGTTACTCAACTGTTTTTTCCTTGCGTACGTTTTTCGTTGCGTATATATTACGTATTCTTTAAATATTACATTACTGTATTTGAACTACAATAAAACCCTTTCTAACTGCTTTAACTAAGTTGTTATATTATTGCCTTGTCTATATAAAAAAGTGGTTCCATATTATAAAAGTTAACATGGTAGCAGAGCGATTTTTTCCTAGTAGGCAGCAGAGAGAGACGTAAAGAAAATAGAGCACCGCGAGTGGCGAGGGAGAATGTTTCCCCACTCCACCACCATGCTCCCTCTGTTGCCTACTAGGAGCGATTTTCTTACCGTTGTCACGGCTCTGTCATGCATCTGGGAGATTTATAAATATGCAGAGGTTGTAGAGCAACTCTTAACAAAAAAAAAATGCCAATTTTTTATAGTCATAGGATGTTTCTCGCCGGATGATTTTCCGGAGCACCTACTTTAACATTTTCGCAAATTGTCGCACTTAATATTATTTTGCGACGAATTTTCTAATTTTATTGACTAGTGGATTTTTCTAGTGGTTTAATAGTAATAGTAAGATTGTAGAGGACGTAAAAGATGATGTTAAAAGACAAACTGTCAGAACTGTTTGTGTACGCAAACTTCATAAACCTTTTATAGGAAAGTAAGGATAGATTGAATGTGCTCAAGAAGAGAACGATTATTAATTTTAGGCAATTGGATGATATAGGCTTTTGGCTAGAGAGGGAAAGGTTCTAGAGTCGAGAGAGAAGTTAATTATGTAGGCTATAACTTCGAGAACGTAATTCTGAAATGGTAACTATCACCCTACAGCTAAAGTAATCACAACAAATTTCGTTACAACGAACAGACACGATGGTCTTTTTGATGACCCCAGAAATATATATTGGTTATGGGTAGACGCGATGGGTAGGGCGATATAGTTGCAAAATGTTGCAACGAATTTGAAATTCTAATAAACGTTCTAAAACTAATCGGTACCAAAGAATCGTATCAATCTGAAACCGTGGATGCAAGTGCACACAAACATAATTCATCTGAAGAAAACGAATTAATTTTTGTGAAGAGACTACAAGACATGTCTTCCTACAACTTATCTATGGCTGTCGTTACTATAGTTACATTCGACTGTTTAGAAGTTACTCAACTGTTTTTTCCTTGCATACATACATTACGTATTCTTCAAATTTTACATTACTGTATTTTAAATACAATAAAACCCTTTCTAACTGGCTTAACCAAGTTGTTATATTATATATCTATATATAAAAATGGTTCCACATTATAAAAGTTAACATGGTAGCAGAGCGAATGAAGTGAGAAAACGCTGTTACGACATAAAGCAAATAGTTTAATGCCTATTTGCTTTATGTGCCTACGTTGCAAGCATGCCGAAGACATTTTACATTGATCCACTAGATGAGGACAATTATGACACTTGGGCAATTCAGGCCGAAGCTGTGTTGATAAAAAGCAAACTATGGAGGTACGTTGAAAGTCCCCTAAATCAAAACGCAAGTGCAGACGATGTCGAAGGAGATAAACAGGCAAAATCAGAATTGATTTTAATAATCGCTCCTTCTCAACCTAAATTAATAAAGAAATACACATCTGAAAAGGCTTTATGGAATAAACTTAAGGAAATTCATGCGAGTAAAGGTCCTGCACGAAAAGCATATCTTCTTAAGAAAATAATTCTTTCAAAACTTGAAGGAAATGATGTACGCACACACTTAAATAAGTTCATGGACACGGTTGATAAACTGGTAGATATGGACGTAAAAATTCATGAGGATCTACTAACAATAGTGATGCTATACAGCTTATCCTCGGAATATAACAATTTCCGTGTTGCTATAGAGTGACGTGACGTCCTGCCAAAACCAGAAGAAATTAAAATTATAGAATAAAGTGTTGCTCGACATCATAACAATGAAAACTTTGAACCTGGTCAACAACACTATGAACAAGAAAACGCACTCTACGTTTGTTGCTACTTCGGACCGTCACAACGAGGATGATTGGGTACTTAATAGCGGCTGCACCTTTCATATGACGCCACAGCAAGAGTATTTCAAGGACATGAAAACTGTCTCAGGAAAGCTCAACTTTGCATCAGAAGCACACTCTACTGAAATAATGGGTGAAGGCAGAGTTACGCTGAACAATAAATTTGGGAGAATACATCTAGAAAACACTTTATTTGTACCCCCACTTTCTACTAATCTACTTTCAGTACCGAGTATTACCAGTCATGGTGCTTCAGTAGAGTTTAATAAAGACAAAGCAGTCATACGCAATAAAACGAGAACTTTGCTAATGACCGCAACAAAGTCAAATGGCCTTTTTTATGTCAGATCGCTGAACATTGAACGAAGCCACCCCCGCAAATAGTTCAACAAACACGACACGAGGCTCAATATTTGACTGGCATAGAAAGCTTGGACATATGAACAACCAAGACCTCCACCTAGTTCTGAATAATGAAACATTGTGTGGGTTAAACTTAAATAAAAATGAGACTGTCAGATTGCGATGCGTGCATACAATCGAAAATGACTCGAGTGACAAGCCCTCCCCAACGGACTACTCTTAGAACTACTGAACATCTAGAGATTGTTCATAGCGATGTATGTGGTCCAATCAGTAAGGTAGGGTGGTTGACAATAAACCAGTAGTACAGAGTGAACCATGCAAATAACTCGGAAATGCAAGGTTACCGTTTGGTGCAAACTACACGTAGTAAGCGTCTATAAGGAGCGGCCCTTCGTCACTATAACTCTGCAATCTCGTGCGCGACCGTCCCGCGGGGTGACAGACAGTGGCGGGGGCGAGGTAGCCCGTCATTCTAGCACACGGCTACACACGTTTCCCTTCCCCGCTACACGCACACAATTAGTTCTTTCTTGTACTTTTATTCAAAATAGTTTCGAGAAGCAACAAGTGTTTATGTGTGTACCCATTTTGACTTTTAAATCGCTAAGTCTGGGGTGGTACAGATTGAATCACTATGGGAGTGTGTACAATGAACCAGTGATTCATTGAGTACTACCCTTGGTTCATTGGGTACCACCATTGGTTGATTAACTATTACCCCAGACAATCTGCTTTTAAATAGTAAAATTTTAGAAAATTAAGTTTTCTTAAAACTTTCATCAATTCCAGCATGGGGCGAACAAAATTAGACAGATCTGCTAGGAAAAAAGGATCCCACTTACCTGAAGCGATGAAGACTGCTGTCAGCTTACATCTCAGCGGCATAAGCTTGAGAAAGGCTGCCAAAGATAGTAACATACCCTATCCAACATTAAGAAGATGTGTTATAAAATTTATGAAAGACAATTCTGCTTCGATGGAACCAAACTACAGTGTCAATAAAATATTATAATATTATATATATTATAATTCTTGATTGTGCCAATAAATTTTATGGTTTAAGTACAAAGGAGTGCAGAAAACTCGCCTTGCAAATGGCGCAATTCTATAAACTTGACTACCCTATAAGTTGGAAAGAAAAGGGAATGGCTAGCAGGAACTGGTTGCGGGGATTTAAAAAAAGGCATCCTGATTTGACTATTAAAAAACCCGAAGCATGTAATATTGCACGATCATCACTCATTCAACCCTGCGAATGTCAAATCATTTTTTGATAACCTTCAAGAAGTCTATGGAAGATTTCCACAATTTGGTGACGGTACAAGAGTGTATAATTTGGATGAAACAGCAACTACCACGGTACAACGGCCTGGAAAAGTGATAGCCTAGAAGGGTAAAAATATTGCTAAAATTACTAGTGGTGAGCGGGGGATTTTAGTAACCACATGTTTCATTGTTAATGCAATAGGACACGCGCTCCCACCTGTCATGATTTTTCCTCGCAAGAAATACTTACCACACATGATTAGGGGCGCACCTACTGGAACTCTAGGACTGGCTTCTAAGACAGGGTGGATGAATAGTGAACTGTTCGTAGAAACGATTACGATTAAAAGTCTTTACAAAAATGTGGCATATTTCCATTTAATTGAGACATTTTTTCGGAGTTAGATTTTTTGCCGAGCAGCATCACAGACAGGCCAGAACCAATAGTAGATGATAAAGGACTAATAAATGAACATGACGACGACACTACAGGCCTCTCGAATGTTTCAATACCGAATGCCAATCAAGATCCGGTTGAATTTAGAATGTCTTCACCCTCTATGCTTTCTATTAATTTTGAACAAAATACGACTGAACCTAGAAACTTACTTTCGCTATACCTTGGAGCAACATCTTTAGCAACCATGAAAGATCTATCCGAGTGTAAAAATACTCCTTTTTTATCAGTAAAAGATTTTTGTGAACCCACAAGCTCTTCTTCAACTAGGAATGATCTTACCGAGCCTCTACATACGCTGTCACAAACTGCACCAGATTCAATACCCAACTCGGAATCAGGCTCAAGTACGCTCGACGTTATGCCAAGTATAAGTAGAAAAATGGAAAACAGAAATTAACCTTGCACCGGCAATTTTGTTTCACCTAAAAATTTCCACCCCTTTTTAAAAGCCGGACCTCGAAATAATAAAAAAGGTGGTAGAAAGGCTGGTAGAAGTATAATAGCCACCGACACCCTAGAAAAAAATGCCCTGGCTGAACATAAAAACAAGAAGAAGATTGACACAGTAAAAAAAGTAACTAAAAATTTATTTAAAGGAAAGGAAAACTCTTGTAAACGACGAAAGCGAAATGTGACTCCAGTTGAGGCTTCGGATGATGAAAATAAAGAATTTCAGCCAAGCGGGTCATCTTCTGATAAAGATGATATAGTATTGAAAGATGATTTCCCTGCACTTAAGCCGTAGTCCTCGTGAAAATGACTTTGTTATAATTATTTTTAAAACAAAAAATGAAAAACTTTCTTACATCGGTAAAATATTGGAAATTTTAGATGATGATGAAGACTGTGATTTTTATGTTTCTTACCTAAAATTAAAAAGCAAGATTCAACAGAAATTTGTTGGTCCAAAAGAACCGGATACGGCTGGTGTCAATATTGCGGACATAAAGTATATTCTGCCACTTCCTAAAATTGAAAATTTTATTAATAGACGTCAAATTACTTACAAATTTCCTGTTGATATCTCTCTCTTAAATATGCGTTATTAAAGTTATAGTTTTTTTATTGTTTTTTTGTTAGGATAAGGCTGTAATTATTGTGATGATTTAGACTGATTTATTTTTGAAATTTGACTGATAAATTGATCTCATTTAGTGTTACATGATTAGAGACTTGTTAATTTATGAATAAGAAAAAAAAGTTATAAGTAATGTTACTTTTTCTTAGAAACTTGTTGAAAGTTGATTAGTGCGTAAGAACTTGTAGATTTATATGATACAATCGTAATTTTTGTTTAATATTATACCACCTGTTTCGACCAAAAACAAAGTCTCTTATTGATACTTAATGACATAAATAAATACTTTAATGTTTAAGTTTGTTTTATTTCACTTCATTTCTTAAAATTACATTTACATAAGAAGTTATGGTGTTTGGACAAACATGAAGTACTACATAACGTAGCCAGTTAAATTATCTACTATTAAAACTTTAAAGTATATATTTAGGGCTCCTAGGAGTGGAGTGACAGCTCTTGAAAATTTAAGTGGTTCATTGTCGACCATCTCACCCTACACCTTCTGACGCTAAAAAAAGATACTTTGTCACCTTTATTGACGATTACAGTAGGTACGGGATGATTTACCTCATGAAAAACAAATCTGAAGTACTAGACAAGTTCAAAGAGTATAAACAAGAAATGGAAAAGTTTACTGGTAACAAAATTAAGCATTTGCAAACGGACAATGGTACAGAGCATGTTAAGGCACAGAATATGTAAATTTTAAGCCGATCTTAAGGAACACGGGATTGCGCGATGCTTATCCGCACTCTATACCCCACAACAGAATGGTATCGCTGAACGAAAAAATCGGACACTAGTGGAGAAAGCTAGAGCTTTGCTTATTGATGCAAAATCACCAATGCACCTATGGGCAGAAGCAGTTAATACTGCAAACTACTAATCGAATAGGTCTGTAAACAGTGTTATTGGTAACAAAACACCATTCGAGAAGTGGGTCTTAAACAAGCCTTGCGTTAATCATCTCCATCCTTTCGGATCCAAAGCCTTCGTACTGAAGAAAAGACCGTGAGACAATGAGTTTGCTCCTAAGGCAATACCAGGAATATTTGTTGGATACTCAGCACCAGCTAAACATATAGGGTTTATGTTCCTTCCAAACGTAAAAGTCTTATTTCCAGGCACGTAAGAGTTGTAAAGGGAAATTACTACTCAAACCCTAATGACAATGTTAACAACTTTTTATACAATGAAAACAAGCATTGTGATTCGACTACAGAAATGAAGAAAACGCAAGTAGATATTGATGACGCTGACGACTGTCAACAAAACGACATTACTGAAAAAGTCGTAAATGAAGATTCTACTCAGCACTGTGATAACGATCAAGAAACTGATACTTATAGTGAACAGTATCATGAAATGATTACGAGGACCTTGATGATGAAAACACAGCCGAAACAGAACAAAATCACTATATTTTTAGAGACAGATCAGCAATACAATTGCCACAACGGTATGATGTCTCTGTACTGGCAGCCTGTTAGTGAAGTTCAAAATTTACCTAAGGATCCAGTGACTTACAAACAAGCATTGGACTCGCCTTATAAAGAAAAATGGGTAGAAGCCATGCTAAGTGAAATAAACTCACTGAAAGGAAATGAAAACTGGGACTTAGTGGAATTACCTAAAGGACGAAGAGCACTACCTTGCAAATGGGTTTATAAATTGAAAACGAATCCGGATGGCTCCATCGATAAATTTAAAGCCAGAGTTGTCGTTAAAGGGTACTCACAAAAACAAGGAGTCGATTACAATAAAACGTTTAGTCCTGTGGCTCGACGCAACACTATACGAGCAATTATTGCAATCAGTGCTAAAGAAAATTTAAACAACAACAATTTGATGTAGCAATAGCCTTCCTAAATGATTCAGTTGAAGAAGAAATTTTCATAAAACAGCCCGAAGGCTTCCAAGACGGAACTAACCGGGTATGCAAACTAATTCGCAGTCTCTACGGACTCAAGCAAGCGTAACGATGCTGGAATTCATGCATGTCCGAATTTCTCAGATCGACTCGATTGACTCTGAGGACAATCCAGAGTCTTAATCGGACTTTATGTTGATGATGGACTAGTGGCGTCTAATACAAATGCTGCAGGAGATGAGTTTATTAATGAACTAAAAGCTCGTTTCAAGATCACAACGAAACCCATCGCCTAATTTCTGGGCATGGAAATAAAACCAGAAAAAGGCAGAATAACTCTATGCCAACAAGCCTATATAAAAAAGGTTCTTGAGAAGTTTGGTATGATGAACAGTAAGTCCACACCAACTCCGATAATTAAAGAATGTGTCAACGATACAGAACCTAAAATTGAAAACAGGCTAGATTTTTCATACACACAGGCCGTTGAAGCTCTTACCTTCTAAGCAGTAGAAACAAGGCCAGATATAGCCTATGCTGCAAGCAAAACGTCCAGAAACCTAGAGACACCGACTACAATTGATGTCATGCTAGTCAAACGGACTTACGCTACCTCAAGGGGACTACTATAGACATAGGTCTAGTATCTAGGCACACAATGGAGTCATCAAACAATTTGGTATGCTACTCTGACTCCGACCTTACTCCGACTTGAAGTGAAACTAATACCATCCGTTAGACAATTGGCGGACATGTTTACCAAACCGCTTTTTGGCCCAAGATTAGAAGATTTGAGTGGGAAAATTGGTCTAAAAAGAATTTAAAAATTCTAAGAAGTTCTGGGGGTGTGAAGAGACTACATATCTTCCTACAACTTATCTATGGCTGTCGTTACTATATTTACATTTGACTGTTTAGAAGCCTACTCAACTGTTTTTTCCTTGCATACATACATACATTACGTATTCTTTAAATATTACATTACTGTATTTTAACTACAATAAAACCCTTTCTAACTGCTTTAACCAAGTTGTTATATTATTGCCATTGTCTTATATATAAAATTGGTTCCATATTATAAAAGTTAACAATTTTAAATACTAACTTAATAATAACTATTGGTTATGTAAAAAAACTTATGTTCCTTGAGGCTAATAGGGAATATGCATGTATTTTTTTTATATTTTTAAACGATTCTACTAGTTATTACATTACCAAAAATAAATATAACACATCCGAAATATAAACCGTTAAGCAAAAAAAAAAATTATTAAAATCACTATCATTTTGGGGCAATTTGAACACGTCCATTTTGGCGCGCTTTTATTGTGACGTCAGATTACACTTTCAGACGAATTCGATGTCAACAACGGAGTGAAGTTCACAAAGTTTGTGAAAGTTAAAAAAGTGAGTGCTAAAAATTAACTTATTACCATGGAAAAGCCAATAAAAACTTATTATAAATATTGTGCCGTTCCTTTGTGGCCAAATAATATCAAAACTGCACCTGACAAAGTATATTCAGTCATTGTGTTGAGTCTTTCTACACGGGAATTTAATAATTTAACACTGAAAACGTATTAGTTATTAACTTAAAATGAAACAAATAATCACCAGAAACCAAATACTACAAATACATACAACTTGTTGACACTTGACAGTGTAGGTTGACGTCACGTTTTATTCAACCAATAGCGTTGCGTTTTAGAAATTTGCGAGGGAATCTTAAAAAAGCCAATTTTTGATGATTAAATTTCACTATTAAATTATAATAAATTTCAAAAATAATGTATGGGTATCTTTTTTTAGCAATAAAAATTACAAATAAAAATATTTTGTCCATTTTGGTGTCACGTGCATATTCCCTATTCTCGTAATAAACGTTCGGTACTATTTCAGTTCCGATCAACTCTCGATCTCGCAACTGGTAAGGTTGATCGGTACTGAATTGTGGCCTAACTTTTGTTACGAGAATTGGCCTTCTGATCTTGACTTGTTGATTTTCTATTTGAATGTTGATCTATTGAACGTTAGAATTAAGTAATAATATAAAAAAACTTATTATTAATGTTATTAATATACTAATAATAAGTATATACTTATTATTATTAATATACTTATTATTTACTTATAATTTTAGCTAATCTTAGTGACGCACGCACTTAGCACGTCTTCAAAGTGGGATGCGCTCACGAAGTGTCAGTGACAAAACATTTTTGAAATTTAAGCGCTTGTTCGCACAGCGACAATTCATCTTACGTTTTTTTTTCTGTGACACATGGGATTTATTTAGTCATCACCAATCATAAACAGCCCTTAACAGTTCACTGCTGGACATCGGTCTCTCCTTACAAAGAAAATATGCCTATGACCGCACTGGGTAATTAAATTCGCGTGTGTCACACTGTTGAGCAATGGAGCTTTTTATGCGCGCATGTTGAATCTGGTGGAGAGTTTATTTAACTGTTGGCAACACTGACTGACTGTTTGTCTGATCTTCACCACAGAGTACATCTTGACTGACGATCATGTAGAAAGGTTTGTGTCAAAGATCTGAGAGATCGTTTTTTAGTTCCTAAATTAGTAAGTGATTAAAAAAGTTTAATGAAATAAATTTTTGTGCACCTGCAGTGACTTGAACTTGTGATAAGTAAATAGTGTGTATCTTACTAACACCGAAATTATTAATTGGATTATAATCTTATTTTTATTTTATCAACAAAGTCGATACGAAATGAATAATTACGAAGAAAATAAAATAATGGCTCATCGGCAACATGTTAAATATTTTATGCGGTTTTTAAATGTTTTACCTTCGTCTCTGTCCTCTCACGATACAACCAGGTAAATATCTGAATCTTATTTTATCTTAATTTTAAGGTCAGGTGCTAGGGTAAACATTCACTCGAATTTCCACTCCAGTGTATTTCCTAGCCTACTGTCATTAAAACTTTTTTCTTCAATAAAAAATGATACGGTTAGTTTAGTAATAAACAACATTATGCTACCAATTTATGACCCCAAAATTTGTTGTAAAGTAAAAACATTTTTTCCTTAACATTGCTTCATAGGGAAGCTGTTCAAAAACTTGTTTTTATATCTTAGTGTTAATATTGAATCATTTGCATAAACTTTCTGTCATCATATTTTAAATATTTTTTTACCTTTTAAGTGATTACTTTCCACATCAGTTCATTAAAAATTGATTCAACTTGGACAGATGTTAAAGTTTCATTTATGTTCACACACACACAGATACACACATAGCCACAGATTTTAAAAATAGTTGTATTATTAAAATTTGTCCAATAGGGTTGTGCTTACATATAAATATGAGCACACACTATTATACACAATATCAGCTCTTACTGTAATACCTATACTAGTACTACTTATACTTTTGATATTCCGGTAGTGGGTTATAATATTGTATGAATGCACCTTGCGTCACTTCTTTATTATTTAGTTCTCAGAATATAAAACCTTAAAATATGTATATGACTTGAAAAGTGTACTGTGTTTCACAGAAATTGTAAAATCTTTAAACCAAAATGGAAGTATTGATGACAAACTAAAACAAATCTGTACTAATATTATAAAGCTGAAGAGTTTGTTTGTTTGTTTGTTTGAACGCGCTAATCTCAGGAACTACTGGTTCGATTTGAAAAATTCTTTCAGTGTTAGATAGCCCATTTATCGAGGAAGGCTATAGGCTATATATCATCACGCTAAGACCAATAGGAGCGGAGCACCAATGAAGAATGTTTCAAAAACGGAGAAAACTTATTACTATTGAGAGACGCAGACGAAGTTGCGCGGGTCAGCTAGTGTTCTATATTTATCATGTTTCTAGTGAAATAGCTTTTTATTATCACAATTAGAAATCCAATGTATGTTACAATTACATAATTTTTTTGGAAAGCAAATACAGACAGTTTTAAAACAATTAATCAGCATTTTAAATGTGTATAGGGGAGTTGTCTGTCGGGCACGCGGTACGACCCGTTATGAACGATTGGCTCGAGAGGCGTCACGGGACCCTCTCATACCGACTGACGCAGGTGATCACTGGGAAAGGATGTTTCGGGGATCACCTGTGTCTGACCCGCAAGGAGCCAACGCCTGAGTGCCACCACTGCGATGGCCAGACCGTGGACACGGCTCTCCACAGTGGGAGTTCTCTCGCTCGATAGCCTGATTGCGGCTATCGTGCGGAGCGAGAGTGTGTGGAACTCTGCCGTCTCCTTCTGCGAGCAAGTTATGCTCGCGAAGGAGGCGGCGGAGCGGGACAAGGAGAGGTTTAGAACTCTCCCGGCCCGCCAGGCCCGGGAACGGGCCAGGTACCGCAGGCGACTCAGGCGCCGGAGGTCGCAGAACGACCTCCGTCCTCCATAAGCGCAGGCTTGGGGGTGGCAAGTGAGGCCATCTGTCACCCTAGCAGAAGCAGGCCGGGGTGGCGGCGAGCGCGTTGCGAATCGCGCTCGCTTCCAGGGAGCACAGGGAACATGGGGTTCCCACACGGGGGGGGGTCGTCTACTCGTCTGTAGATGGCCCGAGGTATGTCGGGGCACCAGGGCCTTCCTTTCTAGGGTATACCTGGTTCCCCGGCTATTAGTACCCGAGACGACGTGCGTTTTTAGTCGGTTCGAGTCCGACAAGCCAGTAAAAAAAAAAGGGGAAGTTGTCTGTACTACTCTGGCTATGCACATTTAGACTCTACCATAGGTTTTAGTTACAGGACACCTTTAGGTTTTAGTTGGTTGGATTCTAGTATTACTATATCGTCATACTGTGTCTGTGGTACCCATGAAAAGTTATAAAAAATAAAATACTGACAAATGTTTATCTTTTTCAGAGTAACGATTGCATATTTTGCTGTATCTGGCTTGGATATTCTGGGTGCAATCTCAACAATGACATTAGACTTGAGGTCAAGGATAATAGAATGGATTTACAGACTGCAAGTACACCCTAATAAGGAAAGTGAGTATCAATATTCACATAATATTAATTATTGTGATATAAATTTGTAAGGAGACAGTAGACTAGTATAGGCTGTTGATGATGGTGATGATGAAATTTGTATTCTTTTAAAATCAAGTGAACCTGTCTGTACTGATATTTTCCATGCTTGACAAAAAGCATAAAATGTTCAATAAAATGAATATATTATTTTGAAATTTTGTTCCATTCTGCTGCAAACTTAAGTTTATGACATATTGCAGGTCTTCATTTTTCAATATGTATAAACTTGTATTTCAATTACTAAATTTTTGTTATTATTATTGTAGGTTTTGAAATTATATGTCTACATTTGGTATTCCTAAATATTATTTTAAACACTGAATTTTTGGGCCCAAAATATGTCTCATGCTGTAAAATTTGTGCATCTCATTTATTATTATATTTTAATAAACAATGTTAGTCCTTGCTGTATAGTTATTTTTTTAAATATGTCAACATAATGTTCAATGTTATCAATAATAAATTAAGTGCTAGTATAACCTCGAAGCTAGCTCAAAGTAGCTACTAAGTATTTGAAGAATAAGCTTGTGTGACTCAGTTACACTAAAGCAGTTTGACTATATATTGGATGAATAAACAAAGTGGCCATTCTATTAACTTATAATATGTTAAAATTCTATTTATTTACTACTTTTATTAAGCTTATTACTGATGATAAATAAATGAAGATCATAATCTACTTTGTAATTTTTTTTTAATATTTTGATAAGACTACATTCTCATAATCTGATGATGCTGTCATAAGATTGGGACAGTAATGGGCTGCAAAGGAACAAAAAATTGTACAGCTAAATATTGCTTTTGTGTTTGAGGATTGGGGTAAACACTAAGTTTGATGTCTGTAACTGATATGCTTTTATAAGCAGACCTATAACTTAATGGTTACATTAATAAATGTTGAAAGTCAATTGTCATAAAGAAATGATGCTTTGTGTGTCAATGTTGCTTGAACAACAATATTAATTTGATATCTTGAAGCTGATTTGATAATGCAGCAAGGACGTGGATAATTAAGCTCACCAGGTCACTAGTATTTCCTTTGAGGTTTAGCTGTTTTCATTCGCTTTGATGGGTCCCACAGTTTTTGTTTTAAAAGACAACTCCCGCATTAGGAATATATCCTGTGTCACTTGGGACTTTACAAACATACATTAAACGGACACAAAGAACACCCAGACTCGGAACAACAATTTGTGGATCACACAAAGTGTTGTCCCATGTGGGGGTTGCACGCACAACACTCGGCGTAGTAGGAAGCGGGGTGGCGACCGTTTAAACCTATCATATATAAATATTCGTCTATTTCGTGATGATGGTCTGATGATAAAGTTAGCTAATCTTTTTTTTTTACTTAATAGGTACAGTTAAGGACAATAGATCAAGTCTCACACAATAACAAGTAACAACACACAATTTCAAATCTGAAGTCCAATTAAAACTAGACACATCATTCACAGTTGCGTTAATAGACCTTTAAGTTAGGTGATTAAAAAATAAAGAAAAGATAATGAGATACAGTAAATTAACTAATTAGTTATATCTACAGTGTGTTACTATAATTACTTTAAGTCTTGATAGGTTTATACATTTCAGCTTAATGCAAAAAGCACTTACTTAAAATATCTACTTGAGAACATAATTATATCGTTATAACGATTACACATTCGCGAAACTGGATTGTTACGTGGAACATTGTTGTTGCTAGCTGGTATAAAAAATGTTTGTGGTGTGCGCACAACTCAACTCATCAATAAGTTTACAATCTAGAGAACCTTTCACAATTTTGTGTAATGATATGATCATTTAAAACTCCGCCTGAATTTACAGAACTTTTGTGTTCTTTTGCAGATGGTGACATGTCCATGTGCGGTTTTCAAGGTTCATCAACAGTAAACATAGACTTGCAGGAGAACAATCACTTTCGATGTGGTCATCTTGCCATGACGTACACGGGTCTCTGTATTTTACTGGCTTTAGGAGACGACCTGTCTAGAGTTAATAGGAAAGCATTAGTTGAAGGTTAGTTAACTGCTTATTCTGGGTAGTGCATGTAGTCTGACGCAGTAAATACCTACTTTTTTATTCCGAATTACGGTCAAGATATTGCAACACACTGTTCTACAATATTTGTATGTATATATATACGAGTATATTGTCGTCGATTCATTGACTGATGGACCTAGAGATAAATTGTCTTAGAAACCAAAATGACCTTATTCATGAGTAAATTGAATGAGTTTGAAATCCCTATCTAGACTAATCCCTCATCGCATACTATTCAATATCAGCTCTACAACTTTACTACTAGCCAAGAAGGCTAAGGTTTTTCTTTCTTGAAATTTTGTCACAGTAACTAGATCTTACAGTTATCTAACTCTATGTATTACCTCTAGGTATTTTAATACAATTATAGTTAAGAGCATAGTTGAGTTTATCTTTTGGATAGCTTCTGAGTAATATGCAAATGAATAGATAAGAAGAAGAACGGAAATCGTTTTATTAGAGTAGTATTTATTTTAAGCACGATGTTTGTTAAGTTAGAATACGTGAGTTCTTCAGGGCTACCGGTTATAAAAGGATTATTTTATATTACACGATTGCGAAAGTGTAGTGTGTAAGAAGATTACATAGATAGTTGAATATAGTCATGTACTACTTATTATTCGTGAATAAGTAACTAATTGTTTTCATTACGTAAGAAATAAGATTAGATGTAACTAATTGTTTTCATTACGTAAGATAAGATGACTCCACAAAAACATAATTTTATCGTCTATGCTAATTTCCGGAGTTCTTTTACTATGCAAATTAAATTAACTTTAAAGGAAATTAAAAATAATTATTCTCTGTTTAAATAAAAAATAAAGCAATTAATCTACTTTCACTCGTCTTGTCGTAGGCATGTACCAAATGTTTAATAAAATACATGAATAAAAAAGCGAAAGAAGACATGAGATATAAACTGAGTCTATGTAAGCAGCACTATTTCAAGATAGAATGATAAAAACATTTAATATAACAACCGATGTAGGGATCGTTTTTTTGAAAATTGTGTTTTGTTGTGAAATTTCTTAGTTAAAATGGTACGTTGAGAGTTTATTTGTTGTGTATAAGCTTTTCTTTCTACTATTTTAGGTGTAAAAGCATTACAAACAGAGGAAGGTAATTTCGCGGCTACGCTCTCAGGGTGCGAGTCGGACATGCGTTTCGTGTATTGCGCCGCGTGCATCAGTTATATGCTCGATGACTGGTCAGGATTCAACATCGAGAGGGCTACCGACTATATTATTAAATCAATAGTGAGTATATTAGTAGCAGTACTAGATAGGTAGCAGGTATAGTAACTGTAATAGTGTTCGGTCGTCCGGCAACGGTTAGTTTGAGTTGCATACAGGTATACCCTGATACATCCCTTTTCAACAATCACTTTCTTACGCGTGTATTTATAGTAATCTTGAGGATAATACATACATTTACAGATGAGCGCTCGTCTGATAGTAAAGTTTGACAATCGCAACACGAGATGTGTCATTTTTGTATTGCCAACTGTGTCTAGAGGTTCCCATAAAGCTCTTTTACATTCTTAAAATACGCGTAATTAATAATTACATTTCAATGCGTACATCGAGCAATGTACTCATTGAAATGTAATTACTTATTTGTAATCAATGCAATTGTAAATTAATACGCGGGTAACGACGTAAGATTGTGCGCAACATTATAGAATTATTTGTTGATCGTTCTTTTTTCCTGCGTTCTCGTCATATTTTTTAAAAACAATTTTTTTTTTTCCCAGGGTTATGACTACGGGATCGCTCAGTGTCCCGAATTAGAGTCCCACGGTGGCACAACCTTTTGTGCACTAGCTACATTGAGCCTTACCGACCAACTGGATAAACTGTCCGAACAACAGGTTGAAGGGCTGAAAAGATGGCTGCTCTTCAGACAGGTCGACGGCTTCCAGGGCAGGCCCAACAAACCAGTTGACACCTGCTACAGTTTCTGGGTAGGAGCTTCACTAAAAATACTAGATACTCTACAGTATACTAACTATGGAAGCAATAGAAAATACGTTTACGAAACTCAGGACACAGTTGTTGGTGGTTTCTCAAAGTGGCCCGACACTTGTACGGACCCTATGCACACATACCTAGGGTTAGCTGGACTCAGTTTGATAGGAGAGAGTGGCCTTTTAGAAATAGAACCTACTTTAAATATAACTAAGAGGGCCTATAACCACTTAAAATCGGTACACGTAAAGTGGCAGAATGAATGATAGTCCGTTACTTATAATTATTTGGATGTATTGTTTGAAACTTTCTAATTATGAATGAAGTCATTGTTATTTCATAATATAATGAAAAAATGTGATTCAAGCTCAATCAATTTACGCTATACCTAGTTCTTTTATACTCAAGGATTACTCAGACACTAGTCAATATCGAAATATGCTTAAAACCGTAGTATGCATCGAAACAGTAGATAAATCATTATCTTTTCACTTATAATTTTAGCAATTAGAAAAAAAGTCATCTTGGCGTAGTAAAAACCCAGAAACTGCTCGCATGAAGGGACGGTGCTCGTATTTGCTTCCTTAATGGTAATTTGATAACTTTAGGAGTTGTTTCATTCTCGACTACGGAATGAAACCAGTTTTGGTTTTGGGTGATATATGTAGATTATAAATTTCTAGAGATAAATATTGCATACCTAAAGATCCGTAATATGTCATACGTTCGCCTGATAGTTTTAAGCATCATCCTCTTAATCCAGTTCGTTCAATCTGTTACTGAATACTCAATCAATCCATTGCTCTATCCGTAGGAATAAAAAAGTAAAAACACTTTAGAATATCATTATTTCATTTTATTAGATTATATTGGAAAGTCTACTGTTACCTATGCTTAATTATTAAAATGCGTTCTACCTATTTCATTACACACAAATTTATTTTATGTTAAGAATTCTTATTATAAAGGATGCATAACTTGGTAAGAAGTTTATGGGCTATTATTTTATTTTGGGGCCCAGAATGAATAAATATGACAACAAAATATAATTTTAAGTATGTTATTTTTTGTTACTTTTTGATACTGATAAAACATAATTATTGTTTTAAGTATATATTACAGTAATTTGCAGCGATGTTTATTTACTATTTCTTCATTAATTTTATTATTATACTAGGAGGGGTACAGAAAAACAACAACTGTGTTACTTTCATGAAAAAACAAGTTTTATTGTTAGGAACATTTACCTCAACTTGGAAACCTATCACATATGAACTTAAGATAGGATAATGATAATTTTATATATTAAATCACAAATTATCTCAGTCCGATATCTCTTTATATGGTTAAGTTTACCACTTTGTTACCTAATTTAGATTTAAACAATTGTAATTTTAAAAAATATTAAAAAATAATAGCAATTTGAACTCACTATTTAAAGAGACAATTAAAATGTTTCAAATAAACAATAAACTCTTAAAATTAGGATATCTGAAACAGTAGTTTTAGTTTTATACCTTCAAACGTTTCCAGAAAAAGAGGGACAAAAAAGCAACGCAGTGGTTCGATACGTAACATAGTGGTAAAATTTTCACGTCCCAACATGTTTTCTTCACCTTAAACTAATAGAAACTTAATGCAAACAAAAATAAAGCATTTCAAAATAAACAAAACGTTTCTTTAAACAAAAAAATTAAACTTCTCAAATTAACAATTTATAAACATAAAAAAAAACCTTTGTCTTTTCAGTCACATTCGTAACATACACGTCTAACTTTCTTAATTTTTTTAGGATTGGGTACTATTTCTGAAATAGTTTCATATGATTCGTATGAAACATCTTTTTCTACTAGTTTTGAACCTCTTCCCCGAATCGTCAACTGATTTTAAAAACATAATCTTGATCTCTCCTTCGTCGTCAACATCACTTTGGGCGACACCTAGATAAAAGTATGTTTTATCCTTGTCAGTGGAAACTTTGACTGTAACGTAAACACCCATGGATACCTTTGATGGATGTAAATTTTCGTTTTCAATTAATTTTCGTTCATCTATATTAGAAACTGAAGCTTCTTGTTCCTTTTTAAGTTGAATCTTTGAAAGAGGCGTATCATCTGAGCTCCAAGTCGAAGAATAAACCATTTCGTAATAAGACCTCTTGGGATTGGTCACAAGATTAGTTATATCAGTTAATACTTCTTTAAAGACACTAATTGGCTGATTGGTTTAGGTGTTAAGCAGCCGCAAAAACCCCTTTCAAAAAAGCAACTAAGATCGCGATAGTGCAATTCTCCTGCATTTTCTGTGAAAACTTGATGTACCTGCATTGTACCCCGGAGAGGGATAATGTCCTTGGGAACAGTTTGCTCTACCTTTGCAATATCGGTATTAGTTATGTAATGTAGCTGAATTTTGCTGGCGTCCTTTAAAGCTTGAAAACATGTCTCTGCGTCAGGAATGTCTAAGCCAAAAGCAACTTTTTGGTCAGCTGTTCATTTAAGACAGCCACCAACACCATCAGCCGCACCCTTCCCGTGACCTGCTTCGAAAAAGTTCCAGGTAATGCGATCAAAGTTATACTCTTTGAATGTTCTTGAGCAGATGAAATGAAAGTTTATCTTCTGCCTATATTGTGTCGCAGGACCGTCAGAGAAGACATGGATTGTTTTTATGTGTGGATGATTAGCTTTTAATGTACTTAGAACTGGGTCTTTTTTTTAGCTTGCTAATACCGAGACATTCCTGCAACATATCGCCTTTCATTTTGATTTTGTATGATACTCCCTTCAAAAATGCGACGTATTGTAAATCGATCTCTTAGAGTCTTTATTCTGGAGTAATGGCCTCTGATGGCATTAGATAAAGTGGCGTACTTTCTCCGCTCTCCGACTTTTTTGCTTTGTTCTTTTGTCTTTGACATCTTTTTTTGTACTTATTATATTTATTTTTCAGCTTATCATTTTCTGCCTTCAATTTTATATTTTGCCTATATAATGTCGATCTGTCTCTTCTTACTTGTCGTGTTCCTCTAGAGCGTGGAGAAAGGGGAGTTCCTGATCGTGGCGTCGAAGCTGGTGTATTATTCAAAATGACCTGTGCAATTTTTTGGCGCTCTTTACGTTTCTTGTTTGCATACTTCCATTTATGCTTTATAGATCTATGTTCTCTCTCTGTCATGTCTTTTACAAGTTTTTTATTAGCGTGATATCTTGCAAGATGTTTTTGTTTAGCTTCAGCATTTTTGACCGGGTCCTGTTTTAATTTTTCCCTATAACGTCGTTGTTTTTCAGCCAGTGTTGAAGCCATTATGTTGGGAATAGTATACTGTAACGAATCAATCTAAAATTAAATAGTTTTTAAATATAAAATTATTAAATAATGAGTAAAAACCTTAAGGTTTAACCACTGCGTTACTATAGCCACACCTGCGTTACTTCTCGTAGTAACGCAGTGTGTTGGTAACACAGTTGTAAAAATTATACATATTCTAACGTTTCAGCCATATAGTAATAAATTAAAAATATTTTTTAATGCCATTCAAAAATGTACACATTCTCATACAGATGAATTTAATAAAATTATCAAATATCTAAAAAACTCACCGTTTATCACCCGTAACTCAGCGGTTTCACAATAAACACACGCACCTCTCCTGCCGACTCTAGCGCGACTGGCTCGACCAATTCTAAGGATACGCACTCCACCTGCATCCCGCTAGCAATTGTTGACGAAACAAACGAATTTTGATGTTGAGGTATACAAAAAGCTAAGTTAAAGACTTATATTCGTATGATAACACAGTGTTCGTGATTTTTCACTTAGCCACGGGGACAAGACAAGGAATGTTTCGTAAATTAGAAAATTCCAAAGGGAAATGATACTTATCAGTGTTGTAGTAAAGTTCAAACAACTGCTTATTACTATAGATATTCAAATTTAATAGCTATTTAAATATTTAAATTTAATTTTAGTGTTTTTGAAGTGAGTTGCTTATAGGGACAGCACAATTTTGTAGGGAATACACCTGCGTTTCTCAGAAATACAACTGAGTTACCGTGATTTAAGAAAAAATATAACTTGTTCTGTTCATTTATTGTAATTCTCTTAGACGGGTATATTATCGCTAACGTACTAAGAGTGTTTTTATTTTAGAAATCGTTGTTTGCTTTAATAATAATCATTTTTGTTTGAGAGAGACCTGTTATTGGAACCAAAATAAAATAATAGCCCTTATATCAAATACACATACAACAAAACAACAAAAATAGTTAATTGCTTGCAGAATAAACTCGAAATTAATTATCTAATTAAATGACGATTTAACTGAATCAGGACCAAGTATTTCCCATGATAAAACATTAAATACGAACAATTATTCCTAATATTCAAGCTATATATTCTCTTTATACGTATACTTTCATAATTAGGATAGTTTCAAACCTTATATCACATAAGAGCTTCATGAATTTTGAGTTACCTACCGAAATTGTCGTAATCTAAGTCTTTAATTTTATACCAGTTATTATGCTAAAATATTATAAGTATTGCAAAATTACTTTATTTACTTGTTAGTGTGTACTTAAAGTAATGTTTATGAATACATAGGTGCTAATATTTCAATAGGTATTGATTACCTTGCGATATCAGTGAAAGACAACGATTGTAGCTGCGTACACACAGCGGGCGGAGGACGTGTTTTATTTGTACAGTACTATTATGAGTTATTGACCTCAATTTATTGTTACCGTTCAAACATATTTCACTTTGTCACTATCCGCTTTAAATCAATAAGTTTAAAGTGTTTGGGCACAAATAAAAAAAACACGTAGTGAACTATACGAATGGCTTTTACGTACGCGTAGATCTTGAAACGTGGTGTACCTACCATTTTTAAAAACACATTTGATTAACGGTAAAAAGTGTGTAATGATCTGTAACTATGAAACATTTTTACAGCCAAGTAAATAGGATGTTCAATATAGGTACATAGACAGATAGATATGCCTTCCGGAATTATTTAATAAAGATTTTCTACCTACAGTGTTAGTTATTACAGATGTTGAGATTGCATATTTTGGATCCCCTCCGCAGTGTGTAGCCAGCTTATTTTTTAGCATTATAGTACAATATGAGAATGACTGGAGATGTGCCATTCGTGGTTGAGTAGTTAGATCTTTAACAAATTATTGCACAAATTAATTGTAAGCTGCTAGTAACGAAATCTGCTAAGGCTCGGTTACATAGTTTCAAGTTAGATACTACTCAT